TAAAATCTAGGTAAGCAATGTCTACTGCACCATCTTAATCTATTATTTTAGTTACTCAATCAAAAAAATCAAGTAAACCCATGTTGTCTCTGATTTTGAAATCCATGTGATTTTAGATGGAACAATCCTATCCTTTAACATGGTTTCCATTACTTTCCCCACTACTGAAGTTAGGCTTACTCCCTACTACCTTTCTTGTGAATTGGCACAACATTTGCTAACTTCCAATCTTCTGGGACTACTACTGTTAACAATGATTGGTTAAATAAATCTGTTAATGGTTTTGCTAGTACACCACTAATCTATTTTAATAACTTTGGGTGTATTCCATCAGGTCCCATTGACTTATTTGTCTTTACTTTTGACAATTGAAATAGAACCTCTTCCTCTGTAAACTCTCATGTAACATATGATTCATTTGACCTTTTTCCTAACTGAGGCCCCTTTCCTTTATTATTATTGCCATTTATATAGCGCCAACAGATTCCGTAGCGCTTAACAATATTATGAGAGAGGGATTTAACTATAAATAGGACAATTACAAAAAAAAACTTACGGGAAAAATAGGTTGAAGAGGACCCTGCTCAAACGAGCTTACATTCTATAGGAGGTGTGGTGTAAAACACATTAGGACAGGAATTTGCAGTCAAATAAGGTGGGCTGCCCTTTAGGAGAGAGCAAGAGACAGGTATGTGAGGTAGAGGTTAGTCTTGGAGGCCATAAACTTTCCTAAAGAGATGGGTTTTAAGGCACTTCTTAAAAGATGCAAGACTAGAGGCTATTCTATAGGAAGGGAGCCGCCCGCGAGAAGTCCTGCAAGCGTGAGTTGGCCGTAAGGGTGCGGACAACGGACAGGAGGTGGTCACGGGCAGAGCGGAGAGACCGAGAAGGGACATACCTATGGCTCTGTGAGGAGATATAAGGGGGGCTATAGTTGTTCAGTGCTTTATAGGTGTGAATTAGTACCTTGAATTGACTCCTATAGCATACAGGAAGCCAATGAAAGGACTAGCAGAGGGGTGAGGTGTGAGAGAAACGACTAGAGAGGAAAGTCAGTCTGGCAGCAGCGTTCATTATGGACTGTAGCGGTGCAGTGCGGCTTTTGGGAAGACCAATCCTTCATTTTCATCTGTAAATACTGAACAAAAATATTCATTGAGGCAGTTAGCTAGACCTTTATCCTCTTCTACATACCTTCCTTCTTTTGTTTTTAATCTAACTAAGCTTTGTTTTATTTTCCTTTTCTCATTTATGTATCTAAAAAATGTTTTATCCCCTTTTTTTTCTGACTGTGCTATTTTCTCTTCTGTGTGTGATTTGTAAGCTATTATAACTTTCTTTGCCTTTTTCTGCCTAATCTTATAGATCTGTCTATCTTCTTCACTCTGTGTTTTTTTTATAATGACTAAATATTAACTTTTAGTTTTTTACTGTTTTGTCCACATCTTGAATTTTTTGCTTTTACTGACAAGCCTAATGCAATTTTCTGTTGCCATCAGCAGTATAACTTTTAAATCATAGCATTTCTCTTGGACTCCATTTAAATTGCTCCAGTCTGATAATGACTCCTTTACACATATTCTAATTTTAGAAAAGTCTGTTTTTCTAAAGTCTAAAACTTTTGTTTTTGTGTGGTGTGACTCAGTCGCTGTTCTTATATTAAATCACACTGACTGATGATCACTGGATCCTAAACTTTCACCTACAGTAATATCTGATACCAAATCTCCATTTGTTAACAGTGAATCTAGTATGGAGTCTTTACAAGTTGGCTCCTCAATGGCTTGTTTTAGAGACAATCCCAGTAGGGAGTTTAGAATATGTGTGCTCCTGGCACAAGCAGCTATTTTGGTTTTCCAGTTCACATCAGAAAGGTTAAAGTCACCCATGATGATAACTTCCCCCTTCATTGACATTTTAGCTATTTTCTCAACTAGTAGATTATCTAACTCTTCTATTTGTCCTGGGGTTCTATAAATCACACCTACACGTGTTACTGTGTGATTACCAAATTCCAACATAACCCAAACGGACTCTGTGTTCGCCTCACTAACTTTTATTAGGCTAGATTGTATGCTATCCTTAACATACAGAGCCACCCCCCCCCCCCCTTTCTTGCCTTCCCTATCTTTTCTATATAAAGAGTACCCTGGTATTGCTATGTCCCAGTCCTTTTTCTCATTATACCATGTCTCAGTAACAGCGACTAAATCTACATTATCAGTTGCCATTATTGCTACAAGTTCATGGATCTTATTCCCTAAACGGCAAGCATTTGTAGACATGACCCATTTGTTCCCTCTTGAGAAAGATGCAAACCATCTTTTTTGTACAGTTTATTTCCATTCCAAACAGAGCTACCATGAGAAATGAAGCCAAATCCTTGCTCCTGACACCAATTACCAAACCACAAGTTAAAGTCCCTAATACGCATCCACCTGTCGTTCTGAGTTTTATGCACAGGCAGAACTTCAGAGAATGACAGTGTGGAAGCAACCTGTCGTATATCATTGACAAAAATAAAAAAAACCTTCCTTTACCTCTGAAACCTCATTGCAAGCCAAGTCATTTGTCCCTAGTTGGACAAGTACATCCAATTCCCCTTCCTGCTTTGCTCACTTAACAATATTACAAATACATCTCCTGTCTCTGTGAGCAGTAGCTCAGGGAAGACATTTCACCAGACCACTATTGTCCAGCCCCACACCTCTTGTGATGGAATCCCCCAACAACAACTGCTTTCTATTAGGCCTCACCATAGTCTCCAAGCCTGTCTCCCTTATACCACTACACTCCGTGCCTGAGCCTGTCTCCACAACACCATTACCCTCAGTGCCTGAGCCTGTCTCAACAACACCACTACACTCAGTGCCTGAGCTCATCTCCATAACACCACTACACTCAGTATTTGGATCCCTCGACTAAAAGCCCCCTCACCCACCAAAGCATTTTTGGACTTTTAGTTACCTTTATTCCACTATTACTGGTTCTTCCCGGCATCGCCATCTTCACATTTTCTGGCGGCTCCCAGAAATAGCATACTGTGCCTATTGCTAGGTGTGTATGGAGTTTTACCAAAGCTCCACGCTTTGTCAACATTTGACAAGCTTCTAGTTATACTTAATAAAAACTAGTAGTCCCTACTTGTCCTCAAGTAAAATATAAGCATAATTTCGGCCTGCTAATGGGGAGGAGTTGGGATACGTAAAAAAGAAAAAAAGTGACATGGACCAATTTATGTATTCGAGACTTGGTTGACTGCTTGATGGTAATCAGGTATCAGTGCAAGACGTTTTTGGCTACACAGGCAAAGACACATTTTGCCACCTCTCAAAATGCCACCTGTGTGTCTCTTAAACGGTAACTATAGTGCCAGGAAAACAAACTTGTTTTCCTGGCACTATACCTTCCCCTCTGTCAAGGCCCCCTCCCTGGGCACTGAAGGGGTTTATAACCCCTTCAGTCACTTACCTGGGTCCAGGGTCGATGTCCCTCTGTGCTGGCTCAGCTCTGCCTACGCTCCTCCTAATGGCCATGCTCACATTAGGATCTCCCCATAGGAAAGCATTATTCAGTGCTTTCCTATGTGGAAAATCTGACCCTGGAGGTCCTCATTGAGACAACCACTAGAGGAGGAGTTAACCTTCAGAGGTAATTATGTCACTTTAACCTCTGTTACCTCTGTCACCCAGTCTTTGCAACCCCTAGGCCTGTGCAATTGCTACAATTATATCTTGGAATTATTTGATTTACCAAGAAGGATACATTTTACATTGATTTCAGTTTACAGTGTTCTGCTATTGTAGAATTTGAAATCTCGTTTAAGAACTTTAAATGTTGTTATATTGTTGATTGCCATCCAGACAACAATACCAAAACACACTGGTAGTCTATCTATTTCTTATGTGTTTGAAGAAGAAAATAAAATATACTAGGTCTATTTTATAATTCTTCCTTGAAAATGTCACTAGCATGAGACACTAAATATACATGTTGATTATATGTGCTAAATAAAAATATAAACAAATAAAAAATAAGATATCAGTTTATTGCATATCGAAGGGCAACTGTAATTAGGTTAATAGAAAATCTATTGTTAATACTTTGCCACTCCTTTAGTAGTATATCACCATAATTATTAATGTATGCAAATCTGTAATTATGTTTCAATTGCTTAAATTAGACAAGCTCTATTATTAGCAAATGATGTTGCCATGTTGAAAACACATTGGCACTGTTTGTAAATTCAACTTCGTTAACTATTATTTACTATATAAAATTGTACAATAATAATAACTCTGTTGTTAGCAAATGCTGTTGTCATGTTGAAAACACTTTGGCACTGTTTTTAAAATCTACTTTGTTAAAGGGACACTATAGTCACCAGAACAACTACAGCTTAATGTAGTTGTTCTGGTGAGTTTAATCATTCCCTTCAGGCTTTTTCATGTAAACACTGACTTTTCTACAAAAAGGCAGTGTTTACATTGCCTCTAGGGACACCTCCAAGTGGCCACTCCTTAGATGGCCACTAGAGGTGCTTCCTGAGTCAGTGCTGCCGAAAAAGCAGCACTGCCATTCAGCATCGCTACGCTCTGCATGGAGACGCTGAATTTTCCTCATAGAGATGCATTGATTCATCATGGGAAAGCATTGGATTGGCTAAAAAGCTGCCATTTTGATGATGTCACAAAGGGGGCGGAGCCAGTACGGCAGAGCCAGCGCTGCACTGGAAATAAGGTGAATTGTAAACTATTATGGGGGAGTAAGGGGGAGGCAAGCCACCTAAATGGTGGGTTAAACACTATAGGGTCAGGAATGCATGTTTGTGTTCCTGACCCTATAGTGTTCCTTTAACTATTATTTGCCATATAAAATTGTACAATAATAATAACTCAATATTATCATTGTACCTTGCAGAAATTCTCTATGTATGTTAGGATGACCAGATATGTGATACAATTTTCATGAGCAAAATTTAAAAAGTCTTGCAAACCTGCCGAAAATCTCACATTAACTTGTCCCTTAAACATTTGCTACAATCAGAGAAATGGTATAAGGTCTTATTTTCTTTGATTACATCAGTTCTACACATATCTGGTACAAAACAGCTTTTATTAGCCTTTTCACTTACACTCAGCCATATGTTTGAAATTATACTTGATAACAAAGTATGATTTAAAAAAACAAAAAAACCTCATCATGATATCACAGGATCCATTGTTAGATGTCTATTTTTATTATGATCTTTACATGCAGGATATGCATCAATTATGTTGCTGCTGAAAATTATTGTTATTTTTTTTTTTATACTATGAACCAATCGAATTATAATTCTCGTTTATGACAACATTATAGGTATGGCTCAATCTTCGAGAATATTCCCTGAGGCATATGTGGCAATGTTAGACAGCATCCTGTAAGTTCTCTTCTTTCTTCATTGAAATTCCTGTTGCAAGTCAATACTGTCCGTACAAGAAGCAAGGTGCCTTTTTATATAATATTTACATATTTTAGTTGGATACATAGAAAATCACATTTTTGTTTGTGAATAAGGTCCATTTTCGTTATCAATCCCAAGTGCCTCTTTTTCCTTGTGTTTCTTTTTCTCATCATCTTTATCAAATTGAGCCTCAATTTCTGCAGGATCAATGTAGGTGTAAAAATATGCCATGATAGCAAAGATAATGCAGACGGCCACCAGCAATGCAGCAAATAGAATGTACTCTGCCCACTGTAAAAAAATAAAAATCAGAAATATCATGTTAAATCTTTTACAGACATACGTAGTGCACTCATAACATTAGAAGTAAAATTGTAATAATAAGAATAAGCAGGCTGCATTACAAGTCATGAGTTCTATATAAAATAAAATAAAAAACAGATTACTGTTCCGTGGCACAGGGCACTAAAGTCTAATGCTGAAACTTATCTGTACATCTAGAACCATTGGGGTAATTACTAGGGTAGCTGTGTTGTATATGCCATGAACACACTTCATAATAAATGATACACATTACCCAAGTCAGCCCTTCCCAAACAAAAAAAAAGGTTCTTGTGACCTCCCAAAAGATTTATGATATATGGACTGGTGTATTCTGGTTGAGATATTACTAAACTATGGAGTACTGAGGGTACCCAAAGAATAGTATGGAAGCCGATAATTTAGGTTGTTACATAAGAAAGATGAGGAAATGACCAAAGAAATGGGAGGGTTCACCTACTATGAACACCACCTTTTAAATATGAAATATATGGGAGAGGCCAGCTTAACTGCTAGTAAATAAATATGCAGCAGGCACTAGATCAACTGTGACTATATACTATAGAACAAGTCAATCCAGTTGTAACAATCTAATTGGGCCAACTGAGTTGCCAATAGTAATACAATACACAAAATCTGGACAGAATCTTTAAACATTAACAGTTAGGCTCGAGTATAGCTTCTGACAAGGAACATGCTGGGATTAAAAATATAAAATTTGCTATATTATTTCATGCAAAAAAATCCATGTATTTGGACATCATATTGATCTACCCATTTAATTAAATTATATAAATCAGAAACAATGTTCTGCTTCTATTTTCCAAAAAACCTGCTACCAGAAAGCATGATGACAAATGGGATGGAGGAAAGCTGGGTATCAAGGTCCTTCGTCAGTGTGATGATTTGTAACTGGATTTATATACAGTGAGGCAGGACAAGGAAATAGAAATATGAAAATAAGACATAATCTTTACAAATGCCATTAATACAAAGGATAAAATAACAGAAAAAAAACTGAGTTTTAGGAATATATCTATCAGTTGTTTAGTGTTGCATGTTTGCAAGTAATATCTTTGCTTGGTAGTTTTAGTCAATGATTTATTGCAGCACTTCTTAAAGGGACACTATAGTCACCAGAACAACTACAACATGACGCTCTGCATGGAGACGCTGAATTTTCCTCATAGAGATGCATTGGTCCAATGCATCTCTACGAGGAGGTGCTGATTGGATAAAATTGTGTTTGGCCCCACCCCCTTGCCGATTTTAGCCTATCCAATGCTTTTCCCATGAGGAAAGCTGATGATGTTGCAGACCCTCACAGCGCTGGAAATAAGTTAAGGGGGCAAGCCACCTTATTGGTGGGTTTTGCACTATAGGGTCAGGAATACATGTTTGTGTTCCTGACCCCAAAGAGTTCCTTTAAACAAAGGCCATGCAATGTCTTATTAAATATGGAATTGGTTTCCATCATATCATCTTATGGCTTTTTGTGAAACTCCACTGTTACGGCCGTTAGGTGGATGCTCTTTACCCATACAGCTCGCATGTTCATTTAAGAATAACAGAGTTTGAAGTCATGGTGCATTAATAAACGCTTTGTAACTTTTCTATATATTTTATTACCATACAAACCCAATGACTCAACTTTGACCTTTCACCTCTTTGATCCACTTTTGGAATACTACAAATATGGACACTTTTGGAATACTCCAAATATGAATACTCCAAAGATGGACACTTGAAAATGAAATGAATAAAAAAAAAAAAAAAATCTAATTTCAACCTCAACATTTAAAACGACATACAGCAGATAGTACATTTCTTTAAAATGGAGTGAACTGATTTACAATGCATAAAGAGAAACAAAGTGAATAATATATGTAACAAAGTGTCTACTGATCAACATCCTCTCTTCTCTTACCCACAAACTATAAATAAAAAAAAAAAGTACATTCGCTGCATAGCATTGTAGTCCTTGGGTATCATCAGCAGGGATTACTCCCTGCAGAATGCCATATGCACATCATTTTCAGAAACTGATACAAGTAAAGGAAAATGAATTAATGCATTGTACAGGACTTTATTTATTACATTGTATTACTTTGATTCACTGTGACTGTATCCTAAGTACTCTTGTTTCCAACTGGTTTAGTAAACCTTTTTTTTTTTTTTTTAATCATAAAAGAAATAAAGTAATCTGTCAAAAGGAAGAAAATAATACGATATGTAAAATAATAATATTAATTATAATGTAATATATTTTTACCTGTTGGCTAATATGTGAAGCACCAGCTATGATAAGGACTAAGATATTACCAAAGGCAACAGTGAGCAGCCACCCCGCTTGTAGTACAGATTTCATGTTTGAAGGAGCCTGGAAGAGATCACAAGAGAAAAAAAATTGTTACTTTTCGTGTGATAGTAATGATAAGAATAAAATATATAAGGGTTATCATGGATATGGATACATTGAAGCTATTAGAATGACTGAGCTGGGGAATTATTCCAGATATCTGTTTAAAGCTTCATTTTGTCATTTGGCTTTTGATTTGCTACATTTCAGAGTTTAGTGAATAATGCTGAACGTTTTCTTTTTTTTATTATTTCTTTTTTTTTTGTAGTGCAAAAGTTGTCATACATGCGCACAATGTCAGTACTGCAAAATTACACAGCATGTAAATAGTGGTAGTTGAAAGGGCTGACATGACATAAGAGGTGCACTTTATAAAAAAGTTATAAACACGGTTAACCATATAGACGTGCATTGAGCGACAGAAATGAGATATAATAGCAATACAACATAAGGGATGAAAAACAAGAGTGAATGTATAAATGCCACAATATTTATGCTTGTATGGATAATATGTTTTGTTGTATGGTGACACTGTATAGGCCTGAAAGTATGACATGTTTTTGATAAAGTTAAAACATGATGGTGGCCTGGGACCCGGCAGGGTTAATGACAGAGGAGCTAAAGCTGAATTTTCCCAGGGGTTTCCAGGGGGGCTAGACAGTAAATGGGGTTGGTAACATTTTCTTGGCAATTAGGATGCTAGTATAAAAATTAGCATAAAATTGTACATAGCGTATTACTGCAGACAAGTTCACTTGGTATACGAGCTATGCCATATGCATGGGGATAATATGCATCCTGGTGTGGTTCCTCTAACATTGGTGGTAGCAGGGGGAGGGGGGATTGGAATATAGATGACGACACCTATCATCTGGGGCCGAAGTGGAGTTACCGGGCTCTACGATATCCACCAGGGACTGTCAGGTACTAAAACATTGCTCATTTTATAGTACTGAGCCTAAGTTTCCGTTTAGTAACACTTGAGAGCTAGTAGTGTAGAATAAAAAATCTAAATAAATAAAGAAAGAAAGAAAAAGAAATTGAAATATATATATATATATATATATATATTACATATATGGTAAAGGGTGAAAATCAGGAACAGAATATTTAAAAAGAGAACTTGTAAGTGAGTCACGAGTGTATGGAATGTGAGTGTCTGAGATCCTTGTTAGTGCAGCCATGAAGCTTGCATGCCTGGTGGGCTAGGCTAGTTCCCATCTTGAATGAGGTTGCTGGGTCTTGTGAAGGTCCCGCTCTTGGCATGAAGGTAGTGATGTTAGTTGGCTCCCCGAGACCTCGAGGTGACACTAGGTGCTGGTTTGCAGGCAAGGCGGGCAGGCCCAGCGGTTTCATGAAGGTAGGAGCTACTTCTGATGAGGTTAGAGTGTGCATGGTCCCATTGTGGTTTGCTTGTAGGGAGCCATTCATTCCCAGCTATAGGTCACTCCAGCATTTCTCAATTGGGCTGTGACAGGACCAAAAGACTTCCTCCATAACAAAGTGGTTCTCATAAGGTTGTGAAAGAAGGCAAGGTGGGTACCCTCAAAGGCAAGGGGTGTGTTGTTCCTCAGGGCCAGCATGATTTGGATTTTGTCTTGGACCAATACACAGCGCAGGATCACGTCCCTGACCATAGTGGGGGTAGATCTAGCGGAGTCTGAGATGCATTAAATTACATCTATGACTACGTGTGACAGTATAGTAGATAATACACGTCGGATATATTGTGGCAATTCTTCGGTGGAGACTGCAGCAGGTATACCTCTGATTTTTATGTGGGTTCGGCCTTGACAAACCTCCTGAGCATTCATACGTGTTGATAGTGCCCGCTGTTCAATTTGCAGCTGTTGAACTTGAGGGAAGACAGATTGGATTGTACTTCCATTATATCTTCCTCCGCGATTCTCACCCGGTCTATGACATGTTGGATGTTAAGCTTGACAAGGTTCACATCTGCGGCCAGCAATTTTTGTATGTCAGGCAGTGGTAACTTGAGGTCCCGTTTTGTGGTAGGGGCCGAGTCATCATTGGGATCTTGGGACTGATCCAGCAGATTTTCGGCCGTGGTGGTGTTGTCCTGCCTCACTGGCATAGGAATTAAGGGTGGTAAAGGAGACTCAGGAGGGTCTTCCACAGGAGTAGGCCCAAGTAGAGCTGGCTGCTGCAGCATCTCCCCTATGTCCCTGCCAGCTACCTCAACAGTCGGCTTGTGCGAGCAGCTTGCTTTCGCCTGCATTTTGGTGGTTGGAGTAGTGCGTGCAGATGAAGGTGCGTCCTCCGACCTTTCAGCAGGTGGCCCGCCAAGCAGTGTCCCCAGGTCCAGGAATGGCGGCGTGTAGTAGGCTGCTGACTTGCACCTCTATTTAGGCTATTTCGGTGCCTGGAAGAATGGCATTAATCGGTTCAGCTAACTGTCAGGGTGCTAATGGGGTGTGTGTGTGGTTTGGAGGGCTCGGTAATAGGGGGATATATCAGGAAAACAAGTTTGTTTGTTTTTTACGGGGCACTCAGATGGCATTTGTACAAGATGGCTGTCCCAACCCTCCTATGGCAATCCTTGAGTGTCCTGTTGCACAGCCAGCTAGCAAAGGAGCAATATAGACATCTTAAAACTTCAGTGATGATAGGTATATCTCCACAGCAGTGGACTACAATATAGAACTCACACCACCACTGTGAGGGAGGAGCAGCAGTGATCTATGCTCCTTTAACTTCTCCTTCATGGTACAAAATACATCCAATGACTGAAGACTGGAAAAATATGTGTGATATTCCAACTTCCTCTATTATCTGGAGCTTCACAGCATAAAGGAAGAGATAAATGGTTCAATACTGCTTCTACACAGCAAACAACATACCACTACACCACTAGTAAAAGTAATGTAATGTGTGAATTTATAGGATTAGAGGAAAGGGAAACTATTTGAGGATATAAAATGAGAAAAGGCCATGCATGGTAGAATGTACTATGGGAGGAAGGAATTATGAAATTGAGGGTATGTTTGTGTTTGTACATGTGTTTTTTTCAGATTCCATGAAATACAAGGAGGTAGGGAACCATGGAAAAAGAGGAAGAGCTTGCATTAAATGAAGCGTGGCATTTTAGTGTGTCCAAGGACACGATCTTGGTGAAGGAATCATCTGGTTTCACTTTGGCTTGATCCCCAGTGTATTTGTGACCAAGCAACAGCCCTGCTTTAATGTGTGCTTGTTACTTTCATTCATGTGAAAAGCTAAGCTATTACTATAAACTAAATTGTCTATAATTTAATAAGGATTAGCAAGTCTTTATTGAAAGATCACCTCATTTCCTGGAGACATTACATACCTGAGAGTAGGAGAACTCCAGCCCCGTGACTGAGAAGACAACCTCGCCTGCTGTAATAAGGAAGTATTGCGGAATCTGAAGAGCCATATGGATTTGGTTGCGACTGATATCTTCAACGTATTCAATATCTAGCTCATTGGTACACTGATTTAAAAGAAGAAAACAGGGAAACTTATCATAAAATCATAAAAAATGTTTGTACCAGTTTTATTTTGTAAATACAGCATGATTTATGAATAGTAACAGTTACCACAATTATCTATTCTCTGTAAAGCTCTATGAAATAATCGCTGTCAGGGGGTGACAGTGTGTTTCTGTTTTTGTATATTTGTGGCAGTGTGTCTGTGTGTATCTGTATGTGCTGTGTATATATGTGTATCTGTGTGTGGCTGTGTATATCTGTTTGAATGTACACTATTATAGTGTGGCTATTTGTGGGGCGGTAGGTATGTGCATATCTTTGTGTGGCAATGTGTATCCATTTCCTCTTATGAGTGGCAATGTACATCTGTGAGAATGTGTGAGTGTCAATGCCCATCTCTATGTGTGTCTGTGAGTATATGAATCTGTGTAAATAGGAGCTAGTGTACTTATAAGTGTCTTCTAACTGCCTCATACCTTCTGCTGGCAGCCTTGAGAAAACAAAGGTAAATTATGAAAAACAAATGGAACAGGAGCTTATAATGACAGTCCTGTTCAACTGAGCTGACAGTGTAAAGCAGGGCTCGACAAATCCCAGGCGCCATGGCGCCTAGGAATTTTGCTTTGGCGTCTGAGATATGCAAGTCCCTTACCTCAGAAGCAGGTGGCCAGTGGCAAGCTGGGGGATTATGGAGGAAGGTGGCATGCTGGGTGGTCATCAAGGCGGGCTGCTGACTGCATGATTAGTAGGAAAGCGGCGAGAGAGCTGTGATGTCCCTGCTCTGCTCACCCATGATGTCATATTCCGGCCCCAGTCTCACTAAGCAGCTCGCGGGGGAGCAGAGCAGCTCCCTCACAGCCGGCAACAATACGCACAGCCAGCAGCCCGCTCGCCTCCGCGACCCCCCAGCATGCTGCCCACCTGCACGATCCCCCATACGGTCGCCCACTGGACCCCCAGATATAAACAAGCAATAATGTATGAGTGTATGTCTGTCAGTGTGAGTGTGTGTCTGTCAGTGTGAATGTATGGGTCTGTCTGTCTTGGTTTGTGTGTGTGTGTCATGTTGTGTGTGTGTCTGTCATGGTGTGTGAGTGTGTGTATCTCTGTTAGTCATGGTGTGTGTATGTGTGTGTCTGTCTTTCTGTGTCATGGTATGTGTGTGTCTGTCTGTCTGTCATGATGTGTGTGTTTAGGTGACCAAACCCCTTCCATTTACAAGGGAATGGTGTTTTCACTCACCTTTTTTTATCACGCTGTGCTGGTCTCCCCTCGACTGGCCCTGCCTCTATGGCTGATATTATTAAGCTGGGTGATCTCAGGCAATCCAATGTTTTCCCATAGGATTGGCTCCAAAACGCTGCACCAATCAGCATCTCCTCATAGAGATGCATTGAATCAGTTGCATCTCTATGGGGAACGTTCAGTGTCTCCATGCAGTGCGTGGAGACACTAAATGTTGGTACTGCACAATGTGCAGCACTGACACAGGAAGCACATTTAGTGACAGTTTGAGTGACTGTCATTAGAGGTGTCACTAGGAAGCAATGTACACTACTTTTTTCTCCTAGATTCAAAGAAAATTTGTCAGGCCCTGGTGTAGAGAAAATGGGATACTGTATATGTGTGCATGTGTGTATGCATATCTTTGTCAGTATGTGTGTGTGTGTGTCGGTGTGTGCATCTGTGTGTGGCAGCATTTAAATGCACAAATATAAACAGTGCACACAAATATACCCCAGCATTCACACATCAACACTGCACACAAATACACCTCTGCAGTCAAGCATCAATGCCGTACATGCCTATGCATTCAAAATCCAACAATGAACAAACACACCCATGCACTGGAACACCAACATTACAGACAAATACACCTTTGCTTTCAAACACTACACGTAAACACACCCCTGCATTCCAAAGCCAACACAATATGTAAATACACCACGGCATTCAAATGACAAAGTACATAAATTCACACAACAGCATCCAAACACTACACACAAGTACATCATTGTTGTGAGAATACATTTATGGCATTATGTGAAGCTGTTCTTTGTGTTTTCTTTTTTCTTGTGTGCATGTGTGTGTATAAATTGTGGGCATTTGGCATCTATTTCAATCACCTCAAGGCCCTTCAGAACAAATAAGTTTGACAGCACTGCTCTAACCGTAAGCTCCACTAATTGTTAATCCTTAAAAAAAAATTAAAAAAATAAACTATCCTAAACTACCCCTTAATCTATATTTGACCACATTGATTGTGGATTCACTAATATGGACATTAAAATGTAAACTTTAAAAAAGTGCATTCTTTAGAAGTAATGCTACAATGCTATCACATTAAAAAGACTGAGGCAATATTATAGTGCTGAACACAGTACTTTACACTGTATAAAAAAATTTTGTATACTGTCATAAAGATGCATGATAGAGCATGAGGTTCTTTGATTATTAAAGGGACACTATAGTCACCCAGACCACTTCAGCTCAATGAAGTGGTCTGGGTGCCTCGTCCCTCAAGTTTTAACCCTTTACATGTTTACATAGCAGGGTTAATCCAAGGTCTAGTGGCTGTCTTCCTGATAGCCGCTAGAGGCGCTTCTATGACACTGGATGCTAAATTGCAAGAAATGCTTTCCTATGGACTGTTAGAATGCGCGCGCGACTGTTCGCATTCCGCTCCACTTGGGAGCTGACGTCGACGGGGGAGGAGAGATCACCAGCGCTGAGGGTCACCAACGCTGGATAAAAGTAAGCGCCATGGGAGGGGAACCCTAAAGGTGAGGGTCCCTCAAGCATGACATAGTGTCAGGAAAATGGGTTTGTTTTCCTGACACTATAGTGATCCTTTAATCTCTCTATAATCCTGCCACAATCTTTCTAAATTGCCAGGATTTATTATAATGCCTCTCTTAATGACTGCAACTTTAAAACTAAATATACATTGATCAGCACCAATATTAAAACCATCTGCGTAATATCATGTAGGTCCACTTCATGCTGCCAAAGCAGTTCTGATGCATTGAGGCATGAATCCACAAGACCACTGAACGTGTCCTGTTGTATTTGGCATAAAGACATCAGTAGCAGACCCTTTAAATCCTTCAAGTTGTGAGGATTGTCCTTCATGGATTGGATTTGTTTTTTTAGCACATCCCACAGATACTCAATCGGCTTCCGATCTGGAGAATTCGGAGGCTCAGCAGAACATTGCCCAGAGCATAACCCTGCATAGTGAATCTTGCTTCCATCTCTTCCCCAGGTAAATGATGTACATATGTACATGCACCTGGCCAGCTACATGATCTAAAAGAAAACGTAATTGCTCAGACCAGGCAACCTTCTTCCATTGCTCATTGGTCCAGTTCTAACGTTCACATCCCGACTGAAGGAGCTTTTGGCGGCGGAGAGGGGTCATCATGGGTTCTCTGACCGGTCTGCAGGTACACAGCCCCATAAGCAGCAAACTGCAGTGCATTGTTTGTTCTTTATAAATTCTTTATTTTTTGTGCAGTGGTAATAACACAGGTATGCATTGACATATCGTATATCCATGAACAGTAGGGAGACAAAAGTAGTTTGCATGTCAAGACAATCTGCACAATTTTTTGTAAGAGTGAAAGGAAAAATAAACATTGTAAGAAATCACAATAATGCATCAGGAAGCACAGATGTAGGTTGGATATACATGAGTAGTCATCTGATGCTTTACGAAATATAGCGTGCCTAGATGTATTATAAAGTTTAAACACGACAGACCAATTATGCATAGGACATGAGGAGTAACCGCTAGTGGTAACATTTGATAACAAGAAAACACCCTTAGCTAGGCTGATTAAGTATGATAAAAATAATGCATATAGGTAGACGGTAATCTGCCCACAAGATTGATAAAACACATTGCTTAATGAGACGTATATTCCAGCATTTTGCGTTATATGGCGATCTTAATGGTTCTGCACTATTTAACTATGGATATTCGACTCAAGCTAGGCATATTGTATGCACTAAGTAAGTTAAGGGTGTATAAAAGGTGAGATGTCCTAGTAATAGGGTGATAGTCTGCGAGATACATATTAAAAGGTTTATAGAAATGTTAAATGCTCGCTGATTAATATGTTAATTAACTGCTGGGATACAGGCTATCTAAGACGGTATGGTATCGCATTATAAGAAGATGGTGTCCATCAATAGTATAGGGGACTCAGAGATTAGTTGCTTAGTCCTCTGTCCTCGGGGAGTCTCCGGCTCAGCCAATCCCTAGTTTTAGGGAAGCTCCCAGGGCACACTGTGGGTAAGTGGTACCTCTGAGTTCCCCCCTGGGGGGTTTCGATGCTGGATGAGTGTCCCGTTTGGTGGAGCAGCTGTTCGGGTCATTCCGCCTGGTCTTTGCTTGTTCAGGAGGGCCAGAGGTAGGTTGATAGTAAGAGCTCTTGTACTGGTGGCGTCTGACTGCCCTCCGCCGCTTCTCCGTTTTCCTCTGCTTTGTGGTACGTCGCTTGGTGGGTGGTAATGTGGCAGTGCCTCGCCCAACGTGTGCTTGGGCTTTGGGGCTCTGTAGCTTGTGGGGTGCCCTCCGGATGGTTGGGCGGTGGGGCGGGTGCACCTCCCCATGGATCCCGTGCCCGGACATTGTTTGTTCTGACACCTTTCTATCACGTAACACAAAAAAACTAGCTAGCGTTTCTGCACATTTTAAGAAATACCACAATAAAGATCCAAGTGGGTTAATTTTATTTGGCATCCAAATAGGTTAATAGGCCTTGGCACAATGGAAATTATATTTTTAAAATAGGTAGAGAAGAAATTAAGTGGGTATACAAATTGGGTACTTTAGAACCTAAAGGGCTAAACATAGAGTTTAATGTGTACAATTTTTATAGGTGCTTTCATTAGTTTTTTTTATTGATTTTATAAATTTTGTTTATCAACTTTTTATTCAACTATGTAACATTGGTGGTACACATATAATACTAATATATTTCTCCCTTATTTCCCTAAAGTTGGTCATTTTATATGTCTTTTTATATATGTGATTTTGATTTTAACTAATAGGAGTGTTTTAATTATCTATCATTAAATATTTAATGTAAGGGGCATATAGCAACATTTAGATGATATGCCCCAAATCTTTTAAAATTTATTTATTTTTTTGTATTTTTTTCCCCTATAGTAGGTTGTGCTTTGTATGTTATGTTTTCTTATATGTGTTACTGTATTTTCGAGGCAGAAGTATTTTATCCATCAGTTACAAAACAATATGTAGGAGATATGCCAAACATCTCCCCTGATAGATCTCTTATATTTGCGTTCGGGACTTTCATTATGGACTCAATAGTTTTACAAGAGAACCAATCGGCATACAGTTTGAATTTATCCACACCTATTTGTAGGGATTTAAATAAGGAGTAACAGCAGGACAGGAGAGTGATGTGAGGAGGCCGTTTAGGTGAAACTAGTCAGCGCGCTGTTGACGTCATCACGTCTGGATGTCATTATACTGCCGTTACCAAGCCCCGCTTCCCAGAAGTGGTGAGGTGCGCCCGAGAACCTGAGGACATTCTGTGAGTGCCGGGATTCAGACTCCAGGTTTCCAGTGTTGCCCTCACCTTAAGGGAATAGCTTTTGCTAGGGGTGTTTTTATTTTACTTGTATTTAAATAAAGCTTGTATTCTACTTCTACATCGCTTTGCTCGGATTACTGCTTACCTGAGTCTTTGCTTGTGAGTGTATTTGCCATATTTTTATTTGTTTAACAATCCCTATTCTTTTCCTTTTATGGTACTATATGTGTATGGACCGTATATACTGAAAACCTCCATCATATTCATATAGACATATTCAAAGTGAGTGTTTCCTTTATTTGGAGCACTTTGTGGCTGATTTCATATTTGTGCACAATTTATTGTTTACTATTTTTTACACATTTAACAAATACCACTGTGTTCACACACTTGTTTTGCACTTTATACTTGCTGCACTTTGGCTGCATTTTTTTTCTAATATTGTTTTATAGGTATAGCACACCATTTTTCAGTTTGTGTGCCTTTCTATTATGACCAGCATTAAGTTTTTCAGCAATTTAAGTTACAGTAGCTCTTTTGTGTGATCGGATCAGACGGCTTTGCCTTCGCTCCCCATGCTCATCAATGAGCTTCGGGTGCCAATGACCTTGACACTGGTTCCCATTCAGATCTTTTCCCTTGCCCATTTTTCCTGCTTCCAACATATGAAGTTTAAGAACTGACTGTTCAATTTCTGCCTATTATATTCCACCCCTTGACAGGTGTCATTGTAACGATATAATCAATGTTATTCACCTCATCAGTCAGTGGTTTTAATGTTGTGGCTGGCCAGTGTATAATGTATGTGCTCAAATTCCCATAGTTAAAGACAGTAGGATTAAGTACATTTACTCACGTTATTAATGATTATGGTGTATGAGCTACCAAATCCAAACTTAATTGAGTCTACTGAGCATCTTTGACCATTTGCCATAACGCCAGAAATATGTTTTCTAGAGAAAAGGTAGAATATGTTTGTTAGGTTAGTTCATATGTTTTAAGTAGCAAAAACATTCCAAAAAATAAATATGTGCAATACTATTTATTTGAAAATACCACTCAGGGTATTTAACATTTAGACACAATATATCATGATGGAAATGGAGCCATGAGAACTCTTCAGAATTACATTCCAAGTTCTGCAGTTCCGTGATGGGGCTATACATAGATGCCTCTGATACACTGGGGATTTTTACTTCCCCACCAGACTATAAGTCACCGAATATTCCTATAAATAACCACCCTTTTTGGATTCCAACACCTACTCAACCCCCATTGTGCTAATTTTGATCATTTAAAATAAACTGTTAGCTTTCATCTTGCTGATGATGCCATTATAAATTCGATATCTGAAAATGACAGATGTTTAACCATGATCATTTCATTCAATTTTTCTTCCATCAAAATAAAATTCATCTAGAGTCTTGAATACTTTTAAAGACATATTTAGTTAATCACGAAGCAATTGCTTTAAATTAGATGGACACTGTAGGCACTGTAACCATGTAATCTCATTGAATTGGTTATAGTGTATGAAGTCCCCTGGTGCTGTCCCTCCATTCAGTGATAACCTATTTCCGAGAAGTTTAACACTGAATAAGGGCCTCTTTCCACCCACATCCTGAACCCCAGTGAATGTAAGGCTAAGGCACAGATTATGCGCCTCGATCTAGCCATGCAGATTCATACCAGCAATGGGAGCTGTGAAAGTAGTCATCTGACACTCTCAGCCAATCACAGGCGCCTATGGTTACTCAGGCTAATGCTTTCTAAAATGATCGAGCAGCAAAGAGGGGATGGGCGGTAGGGACTCACGTTAAGCGTTATAAAAATGATGCTAAATGGAAGGATGGTGCCAGGGGCCTCCTGACAGTATAAACACTTAAATGAAATTAAGCAGTTACAGTGCATCCGGTATCCATTTGAATGAAATCCTGGATTTTAAATGTTTTTTGGGGGGAGGGGAGCCGCGGCAACTAGTGATTTGAGTTCTTCATCTTCTTTCTGTCCATCATAACTTGGGTTTATTTACTAGGGAAGTCATTGTGAAAAATTAACATGGAGGTGCACGTTTTAGACGAAAATAATTGAACTGGAAAAACAGCTGACCTCTAGGATTTTTTACACTTCAGCCATTATTGGACTAAGGTGCATGGCGTCCCTAGCAACTTAGTGATTGCAGCTTCTTTTTTTTTCTTTTTTTTTAAACATCACAGGATTATTCACGAACATGAGAATTTACAATTTAAGGCCAAAGTGGCCAAAATAGAAGCATAGGCGATTTGAGAATTATACAAGCTCACCTATTTTTCCATTAAAATTCACTATGAATTCATGACAATTCTCAGTTTAGTGAATACCCGTATTAATATATTATTAAAAAAAAATAATCCATCAGATTCTACAAAATGGGGGACAATGACTCCTGGATAGCTAACTTCACTAATGTACTTTCCAAGCAGCATAAGGACAAAATAACATGGTATGACTGAAATGATTCACACCACTAACCACATAGATTGATTGTATTATATTTGACAGCTACATATAGCATTAGGTAACGTGTATTTAGCTATGGATAGGCACTTTCTGTATTCATTCTGTGTGACCATTGCACATCGCTAAGAAGGCAAAAGCTGAATGTGCTAGGAAAATATGCAGTAGCTTGTTATACTCTTGGTTACATTTTACCAAGAAGAATCCTGCCCAATGAATGTAACCAATGAAAGAATAGAAAAGCAAGTCATTCTGTACTTACATTCCAAGAGTTACCAAGGTGTAGTTGGAAAACCCCAATGGCATTATCTCACCCAACTCCGCATTTGCAATTGTCACATTGATCGAGTCTTTAAGATTATTGATAAACCTAAAACAAAATGTAATTTTTACAGTAATATATAGCAATATAATTACAATCATACAATTCTAAGTACGGTAAATGTATAGATCAGAGCTTAAAAAGTCCACTTTGCATTGATAAGTGGAAATTCAGATCCGAGAAGTGTGCAATGGACCCCCACTACACATAATCAGGGCCCAAGAGTAGAATACTATGAAATGTGACATTTATTATATCAATTTAAAAGGCTTCCACCGAGGTCAAACATATACATACACCTATAGAAAATAAAAAGAAGGGGTAGGAAAGATGATACAAGCCCTATTGGTGTATAGCTCATATACACTTGGTATGCCTAACTAGCAGAAATAAAAAAGAAAATATTGGTGATCACTATAAAAATATTGTAGGTTGTAGAAATCTATAGATGTCAACAATGTCCCTATTAAGTTAGGTGCATAGCTGATATCTGCAGCCAGTCAATCACAGTAAAGTTATTACTATATTGATACCCTAACTGTGCTAACTTGTAAATCATACAATAATAATATATGTAATCATATTTATTTATACTTGATGTTAGCTAATTTCCATTTAAATGTATAAAGTGTTATATATTTTTTTTCTTTTCAGCCTTTGGGGCATGGTTGTAAGGACTACACATACTAGTAATTGTCAGATGCAGTGCAAGTCATTACGGGGAAGTGTGGCTTATCATGCTTCTGCCTTTTCTGTTCTCAGTGGTCACATTACAAGAGAAGGTTTACAGTGGTAAGTAACATTTAGGCATGGATAGGTTCCGTGTGTAGACAGTGAAGTGTTATGCCCTGACTACAGGGATTTCAAATTAAATGGAATTTATAGTGTCCATGTTAGATGAAACTGAAGGAAAGTATACATAGGATGAAAACAAATAATGATGAGAATAATGATAATAAGGTACTAAAGGTGCCAGTGGTATTTAAACATGTACTATAATTCCAAATTAAAAAAGTAATTCAAGGACCATGACTACAGCAGTAAAATACAAAATATCCCTAAAGGGAAGCCTTGGGGGGCAGGTGCGCCTGCACAGAAAAACGCAGCTCTGCACCAATCACACGGTCTATCTGAGACCATCTGACTAAAATAGTTGAGTTTTACTCCCCTATTGCTGGGAAAACTTTTCTAGTGACTGTCAGTACATCGGCCACTAGAAACGGGTTAACCCTGCAATGAAAATAGGTGGAAAATAGAGAAGATGCCCATTTGGGGAAATGTTTATCTATATTGTCCTATAAATGAGCCTCGCAGTTTAGTGAAAAATCTCTTTAGCATTTAACTCAATAACGATCGGGGTATTGCATCAGTCAGGGCAGAATATAAATGGTTTAGTGTGGGAGACCAGTTAATTGTACTAGCGTATGGGAATAGTAAGCATATATTAACGAGAACACTAAGCATATTGTGATGGAAATAGTAAGTGTGTAGTGACAGGAAATGTAAGCATATAGTGGTAGAAACAGTACATGTACAGTGTTGGGAAAGGTTAGCATAAAGTAATCAAACAGAAGGATGGGACTGCGCCAATAAACAAAATTTAAAAAGTCCTAATTAGGGTATTGAAATAAAGTCCAGTGTAATGAAACTTGGTCTTATGTTGGTCTCTGAAGTTGTGGAATTTTGCAAAATTCCACAACTTCAGAGACCAACATAAGACCAAGTTTCACTACACTGGACTTTATTTCAATACCCTAATTAGGACTTTTTAAATTTTGTTTATTGGCGCAGTCCCATCCTTCTGTTTGTTTGCTTTCCGTATTTATCTCAAGGACACTTGAGGGAGTCCTTGTTTGGGATTGCTGCCCTTTGTATCTCTTTCTGATATATTAGCGCTGACTCCACTCTCTGTTTTTAGCATAAAGTAATGGATGGAAAATCATAATTTTATATTCCCAAGTAATGGGAATGGTAGGTATATAGTGTTAGGAATGGTAAAGTATATATGATATATGATGGAAATGGGAAACGTACACTAATAGAAATGATAAGCATATAATGATGGGAACAGATAAAATAAAATAATGGAAACAGTATATGTATGCTGATGGAAACGTGGTACAGTGCATGAAATTTATATATGGGGTACATGCAGGTAGGAGACAAAACCTGTAGGGGTCTATAAAATATTAGCTAACAATGGTTAAAGAGTGTCTCTGTATGCATTGCTGTAAATTAGAATTGCTTGTGCTAGAACAGGTACCTGATTTGGTTTCCTCCTTGCTCTGGCTTTTCACTTAGATCTGTGGCCTTAAAATAAATTAAATATAAACTGGTTACACTAGTAAACATATTTCATACATCTTTTAATAGGAGAATTATGGAAGAGGCTGTGTGTGTGTGGTTAGTTGCATTTAGATTACCAAAACCTTTGAGATGAGAGTTGCTTCTCTGGAACACCAAATAAAACAAACCAAAACTGAGCATTTGTGAATGGCTCTAAATCAATATGTACATGTGTGAATGGCTCTAAATCCATATATACATGTGTGAATGGCCCCCAGATTATTCTATGCGTTACTGAGTTATTCCTAGCATGTACAAGGATCTCCAGATTTCTATGTGCCTGTTTAAGTTATTAAAAAAATAATTTTGTGGTTGTGCGAGTGGTTCCAGATGGCTACCTGCAAGTACTACCTGACTACCATTTTGAGTACTGACTGACTACTGAAAAGAAGACAACAAGAACACTTTGTGGTGTCATGCTGCTATACCATTTTTTTTTTTTTTTACATTGAATAAATTATTGGTAAAGAAGTATGCCTTATTTATTGGCTATATGGCTCAAAAGTGCCAGATGGTAATAGTGAATTAAGTATTGTCTATGATGAAAATGTGGTTTTACACTAAATCCAGATGTGTTGATTAATCTTATACAAGTAAATATTAGACTAGTGAAAGCTAAAAACAGGATACTTTGGAAGAACTGGCAAGATGAGCATTTTTAAAGCCATAGTATGTGGCCAAAGCCATATTTGAATGAGACAGTTGTCTCAAAAGGATGCATATCATTTACACATCCTCAGGACAGAGAAGTCAGTTGTTGCTGCTTTGAGATGGATGCCTTGTCGGCGCAGTGGATGGTTTTAAAATATTTGTTGCTTTCTCCCTCTCTGTAAAGGTTATTTAACTTGTGTTAATTGCAACAACATGTTTTTGTTATACAGCTTTGTCTGTGCTATTTTGGCTGGTTGATCGTAGGATTGAAATTTTAATTGAATGTTAGAAGACAATTGATAGGCTCAAAATATTGATCATAATGCTGCGACAACAGGCATTTTAAGCCCGATGTGTCTGGAGCTATTGCCTCATATATCTGCTTTCCTATGGGGATTCTGGCGACGCTGGAGGGACTCATGCATAGCATGAGGACGCCTAGCGTCGCTTAGAACACTTTTCGTGTTCTAAGAACACAGAAGTCCCTCTTTATAGAACTGCAATAATTACACTTGCAGGGTTAAGGGTGGTGGGAGTTGGCACCGAGACCACGCCAATGGGCAGAAGTGGTCTGGGTGCCTGGAGTGTCCCTTTAAAGGAACACTATAGGGTCAGGAACACAAACATGTATTCTTAACCCTATAGTGTTAAAACCACCATCCAGCCCCTGTGGGCCCCTCATGCCTCCATAAATATAGCAAAAATCTTACTGTATTCAAGCCAGAAGCTGTAGATTTGCATGCTGTTTGCCTTCAGAAAAAAAAGCTGTCTGCTGACATCATCAGAAGTGGTGGCCTGATCCAATCACAGTGCTTCCCCGTAGGATTGGCTGAGACTGACAAAGAGGCAGATCAGGGGCAGAGCCAGAACAATTCAAACATAGCCCTGGCCAATCAGCATCTTCTCATAGAGACAAATTGAATCAATGAATCTCTATGAGGAAAGTTTAGTGTTTGCATGCAGAGGGAGGAGACACTGAATGTTTGGATGCATTTTAGGCAGCCATTATCCAGGAAGGATCTCTAACAGCCATCTGAGGAGTGGCCAGTGAAGTTATCACTAGGCTGTAATGTAAACACTGCATTTTCTCTGAAAAGACAGTGTTTACAGCAGAAAGCCAGAAATGAAGATAATGATTCTATTCACCAGAACAAATGCAATAAGCTGTAGTTGTTCTGGTGACTATAGTGTCCCTTTAAGTGTCAAGCTTCAATCTTTATAAAAACAAACTGAAGGATTAAAACAAAAGACTACTTACTAATTCTCCAAAGATGGAGGGAGTATTTGTTACGATATATGTGTATCTAGTCTTCCCTTCAACATATCCGAGGGGAATTTTCACGGTTTCATTTCCAAAGGTAACAGAAGCATTGGCGGAAAGCTTCAGGGTCTCATAGTTACCCGCCTGGGGAAAAGAAAGGTTTAGTATATAATTGAGATATATTTAAAGTAATTATTATTGTTATTAGCATTAAAATAGCATCAGTACTGTCCATAATACTATATAATATTGCATTGTGGTTTAAGCAGCAAAGAAGAGAGAAATTGCACATTTTAATAGGGACTTACTAAGCGAGTTTGCAAACTAAGGTTGAATAATGGTGGCTTTTTTAAAATCCAATTTAGGAGTAAACACAGCAATAAGCATTCTGCAATACTGGTTTCTTCCTATATTTTATTTATGGTTGACGTGATCAAGGATGTTTTCATTGGCTTGGTAGTACAATTAGATTTCTTCTACAAATTAATCAATAGATAAAAAATTATTTTAAAAGAAGATATTTTGCAGAGATCCTCACTCTATGAAGTAACATTTTAAAGGTTATCATTATTAAACTGAAGTAGGCATTCTTGTTAGTTCTTCAAATTATTTGCTTTGTATTGGAATATTTTTTTTAAGTATGGTCCATGGAAGCCACATTGATATATGGAATCTATACTAAAGAATAATTTGGTTAGTAAATTGGTTAATATATATTTATTTACTAAAGGCAAATCTTCAAATTTAGAAGTGAGTTAGTTGTCAGATAGTTTAGAAAGATATTACATATTTGCAGAAGATTGGATTTTGGGAATGGTTTTTAAGAGCGACAAACATTGTTGCACTCAGCCACGAATGAAAACTGCACCACTAATGAAACAAACATCTGTCATTATGCTATATATAATACATAAAATATATTAGATCAAGATAAAACAATGAAAAGCTTTCAGGTAAACATACCTGGTGAGGAACCAGTAGTCTGTAGAAATCAGCTTCAGGGTTATTCATATAAGAAATGTTGGCATCATTTGAACCTAAATTTATGACTTTCAGTTGAAACTCACTTTTCGGTGGGAAGTTGGGAAGAGTTTTCTGCAAACATATATGAAGACAAGTATATTTTAGTTTGTTCATTTATAAGTACAATAATGCAAATAACTCTGAATCATGTGAATGGAAGGTTTACAGCAGAGCTCCGCAACCAGTGTGTTGCAGCACTGTGCTTGGTGTGCCGCAGAACTACCACAAATGCAGCTCCACTGTTGGCCGCAAGTGCAAGGGCCACCCAATGGCAATGTGTTTTCAAGGACCCAGTCGTATATTGCGATCCTTTAACAGCGTGACTGGCCCACATTTATAATGGTAGCCTGGAAGGAAACACAGAGCTGTGACAGACAGGACAGGACAGAGCACGGATGGGGAGAGCCTCTGACTCCCAACAGCCTCAACCAGCAGACTACACCCCAGTGAGGGTAGGAAAGAGGAGGGTTGGTAAAAAAATATTACATTGTTATTATTATTTTATTATTATTTATATAGCGCCAGAAAATTCCATAGTGCTGTACAATGGGTGGACTAACAGACACGCATGTGTATCTGTGTATTAGTATGTGTCTCTCTGTATCTATCTGTGTATCTATTTGCATGTGTGTCTATGTATCTGTATCTGTGTATCTGTATGTCTGTATGTGTGTTTGTGTGTTTTTGTCTGTATGTGTATCTGTGTGTCTGTTTATCTATCAATCAGTGTATCTCTGTGTGCCCTTGAGTATCTGTGTATGTGTCAGTGTTTGTATCTTTGTCTGTGTATCTGCATGTGTTTCAATGTGTGTGTGTGTGTCTGTGTATCTCTACTTGTGTTAGTGTGTCTTTTTTTATCTGCATGTGTGTCAGTGTATATAGCTGTACACCTGTATGTGTCAGTATGTTTTTGCATGTGTGTCAATGTTTGCACCTGTGTGTCTGTGGGTGTCTGTGTATTTGCATATCTGTACCCATGTATGTGTGTATCTGTATTTGTGTCAAAGCATCTGCATGTATATATGTGTGTGTGTGTATCGGTTTATGTATGTGGAAGTGTATATGTATATGTGCATACATCTCAAAGGTCAACACTACATACAGACACACACCTCATTCACAGGCAGACAGTACACACAAGTAAACCATTGCTTTCAAATAACAAGAGTACATATTAACACATAACACTACACACAAATACACCCCTACATTCACACATACATACTCTATACAAAAACTTGCTTACATTCAAACATACAAACCCTGCTCAGTGTAAATACAACCCTGCATAGTTGCAAGCTTGCTTTCAATAAAGGTTTCAGCCACCCTGACAAATAGTGAAACTGAGCAAACGGAAAAACAAGTAGTGGAATAACACTATTTTATGGGTAGGGAAGGCAGCACACCTTAACGGGTTACTCTCTCCCAAAAACCCAAAAGGAATCATAAAAACACAGAACAATAGGGTGCGCCAAGGGGTTATGAATCAGAATAGCTTTAAGTAAAACAAATGAAATAAAACAAATTATACACTGTCCATATGATAGTATAAAATACTGTATATAAAAAGAACAAACAAAAGGTCCAGGATAAAATATAATAATATAAATAAGAATGTAAGGGTTTGACTTTATCTTCAGGTTAGTATACCTTCCAAATGTTCAGAAACCATGAACATAAAAGAGAAGAAAAACGCCAATGGTACAATATGTATAAAATAAGATTGAATAAAAAGAAATCCAAATGGTCTACTCACATGAGCTAAGACCAGCTCTAGTATAAAGCGCTTGCAGTGGATTTGATCCCCACTTCAGGGATATTGGTGGAAGATATTGACCAGCACGTGTCTTATCAGCAGGATATATGTGAAAATAAAAAAGTGCAAAGATAGTGCTCTCTGTATAAAATATATTCAACCAGGAGTGAAAATAAATAGGTTCTACTCACATTTACCTGAGCAGATAGCCCGCTCAGTGTAATCAGCATAGGTGGTATAATCCCCACCTTGGAATATTTGGTGAAGTCCTCACTGGAAAGATAAAAACATCATATTCCGGCTCCTGGCATCAGCAAATGGTGCGCGAGGAAGCAGAGCTGGGAGAACACAGCTCCCTCGCCGCGTCTGACAGGGAAGCAGGTGGGGGTCCATCAGGTGGCCATCAGGGGAAACACAGGGGGCATTTGGGGGCAGCATTTTTTGCCGCCCCCGAGTGCCTGCAGGAGCAACGGGAACGGCGTTCCCACGCGTTCCTGCAGGACTCGAGCCCTGGCAAGCGCTTTATTCAAGAGCGCTTTATTCACTATCCCATGTGAGTAGGCCATTTGGATTTCTTTTTATTTAAGCTTTTATCTTATTTTATACATATTGCACAACTGGAGTTTTTTCTTCTCTTTTATGTTCCTGGATTCTGAACATTTGGAAGGTATAGTAACCTGAAGATACAGTCAAACCCTTACAGACTTATTTATATTATTATATTTCATCCTGGACTTTTTGTTTGTTCTTTTTACATACACGATTTTATACTATCATATGGACAGTGTATAATTTGTTTTATTTCATTTGTTTTACTTAAAGCTACTCTGATTCCCAACCCCTATTGTTCTGTATGTATATTATATATGAAACCCTCACATGTTTTGGCAGTCCCAGGTGCAATCCTCTGGCATCTATATTTGCTGTCCCCAACCTTTCATGGTTTCAAAACTGCTTTGCCCTTTTTTCACAACGGAAAAGTTTGTCATATGAAGTCAAACTGTTCTAAAGAGGTTTGATTAATTTCATTGGGGAGAACCAGGTAGTGGCAATTGTGCATGGTGTGTTCCTTTAAGTTACCTTCAAAGCCAGCAGTTAGCTGTTTTGCTCATTGGTAATAATAAGGCACACACAAATACCAGGTATAGATTTAATTAATGACATATGAGGCTGTAGGAGTTTACATTTTTGTATACTTACATCGATTTCTATTTGTACCACTGCAGCAACAAAAAAGGCCATAGCAGCAAGAAACATCCCAACAGTCATCCTCTTCAGAGGTCTATGGAATTAAGAACACAATGAATAATGACTAAAGAACCAATTCCACACTGCAGAGAGAATCAGTATAGCATCACCAATGAACAGTGTAAGAAAAATTCCAAAGCAAAGTATATCTAATGAGCATCTATACATATATACAGGATTGGAATTACCCTCTCAACTGCCCCAAGGCTAGCTTCATCAACGCACCCCCAAACAATATCTATCTATATAAATACAGTATTTTCCAGTCGTTGATGACCTGTAAAGTCCTCTGAGTGAGTGTGGCTAAGTGTTATGTGTGTTGGTTTTATGTATGGTTGGCTGAATGTGATTCATGTGGCGTTGGCTGTGTGTGATGAGGTGTAGACCACAGCAAATGCTTCTGGTCGTGTGCTCTCTGAATGGTAACTCGGCAGCAGTGCCATGACTCTCTGAGTACCAGGACTGTGAGGGAGCTGAAGGTCGTAAAAACATTATTTCTAGCATAAACATAATGTTCCTATTTTACTCTATTATTTGGATGGTGTGTACAAAAAAAAGATGATGAAGCAGAAAAAAGGGTTAGGGAGCTATACATTTTTAATAGTAAAATCGTAGAACTGCAGATTAAATCTTTAAATGTCCTTTTAAAAACTGGAGAATAACAAACAGATGAATTGTGGAGAGGATTACTTGTGTGCTATACATCAAACTGTACAGTAGTAGAGTAATATGTGTACTTTATAGTGTCTCGTATTACAAACTGGTGTTAAAAAATAGATCCAACAAATATTTTAACAAAATAAGAACAAAAAAATATTTCACGTGAATATATAGACCAAAATTGCTAAACTACAAGCATCTTTCAAATCTTTTATTTTTTCTAGAGGCTCTGTTTTTTTGCCTAAGCTTAGCAATGTGCTACTCTTTACTCCACATTCCCTAGTTTTTTTAAATTAATCTAAAGGTGGTCAATCTGTAAAGCTATGGCGATTATAACCAACCTGTTTGAAGAAGAGTGCAACTGTAGTAAAATATTACTTTAGAAATGGCCAATTTGTAATTTGAATGTTTTTGTGAGCTTGTGTTATAATTGCCTCTCAGCATCAGTCTGCCACCTGTAATGCAATCTGAACATGCTAAAATGTCTTGCATTGGTAGTACCTTAACTTATTATGTGGTTATATTTGTGTTTAGTTACATTTGATCATCAGTTAGACATAAACATTATCCTAATCTGAAATAAAAGTATAGAACTAACAATGAACATATATTGAGCATTAAATGCCACCCAATACAGCGCTTACACTTACGAGAAATTAAGCTTGCATTTTTTAATTAGAGGATACACCACAGCATCCATAATCGGCACCATAACAATAATCAGGATGGGATTAACAGTCTAGAAAATAAAAAGAAATAAATATTAATAAAGCATACAAAATGTGAACGTTAATATTCTTTTCTAGGATAATAAGAGTAATGGTAACTTACCTGCATTTGGTCTGGCTGAATTTGAATCGCTCCCTAAAATAAAAATAAAGGATATTATTAGTCAGTACTAAACAAAATGATTCTCTGTATTACAATATGATACCATATGTTATTTAAATATAATAATTGTTACATTCAATAAAACTACGTATATAAAATACTGGTAGTTTACTGGTAGGTGGTAGTGAGTGACTGGACTTTAACAAGCTTAATGCTACAATGGGCCAGTTTGAAGATTAGAAGATAATATTTCACTTGATCAACGCAGCCATCCCTCCTGCAGCCTTCCTGGACACACTACAGGAAGTTATGGAGGCCATACATGCGGGTCAACCAGCAGCATATACACCTAATACATCTACCAAGGAAGACATGATTTTTCTGCTCTCTCCAGCACACACAGAGAACCACACACCAGAGTAGCAGTGATGGAATCAATTACGAAAAAAAACACAGTATCTAATGTTAAGGCTGCTCTAAACTATCAATGAAGGACGTTGTTGAAGGGAAGAAGGGAGAGGGAAAGAGGGGCCATGAAGATAGATACGGAGAAGAATAATCAGTTTATATACATATAAGAGGGAAAATATAGAAGAGTGTAACATTTGTTTTACTAACTGTAGGAATTATCAGTGTTGCAAGTCCGCAAATTGTAATATAATAATAATAATAATAACAGTGTGTCCTTTATGAAGACTTACAAAATTTCCATCCATGGTTGTGGCTTGCAGAGTCCATCTTGATCCCTACAAGCAGGAAGATGGACACACATTGATAAGTCACAACATAAAGAATACCTTGACAAATAGAAATGTGTTAGCAGTTTGGGAATGGCAATATACAGATGAAATTGTATTCTCTTTAAGATGAAGTAAAGTCATGTTTATCATAAAAGGTGCACTTCTTATTTTAAAAAGACTTGCACTGAACACTGGATGACACTGATATTAGGAGACACATCATACACGAATAGTATATATGTATTTATTTATTTAATAGTATATATTTATCTTTTAATGACCCTACAGTACATGCATGTGATTATATCAAATATAGAAATTAATATGTCATTACCTGTTGATCAAAAAGAGCCCAGAACATTGGGAGGGGAATGTACAGAAAAAGGACTCGCACAACCATTTTAATTTGTGCAATGAGACGCTCCTAAAATAAGGAAAGAATACATTTAGTTTTTTCGATAGGCATATTTCAATACAAAGTTCTGCTGGTTGGAAAATTAGGAAGCGCTTTGGTACCTCGTACTTCTCTTTTGCCCAGTCCATCCAGTGCTCTCTTTTTGGAATGCTCTTACTACGATTCCTGAATCTGTTGCTGATTGCAAACTGTCAAGAGATTGACCAGAGAAATAGTATTACATTGTGGATAATCAATATGAATTATGTAATATAGATCTACAGTGTGTTTATGCTTTGCTCATACACTGTATATTAAAAATGATTGTTTTCTGGTTTTGATGAAATGAATCATTGTGATACCGAGAGCTAAGTGATCACAACAGGAAGTTCCTAGGGGGAGTTTCATTATACATTGAGACAGTCACTTTGCACCTAAATACATTTATCGGGACTCAAGGCACCAACACAAATTAATTACATGAGATAGGTACATTCTTGATTATTTTTCTTCACATTCAAACCTCTTTAGCATTGCTAAAAAAGCAACAAAAACATGCATTGCCATTTTCTGCAGTATAATGCTGCTTCCTTAGCCATGCCTCTTCTTTTCACAAGATATCGTCCTGATTTCAAGTACTTGCTAAGAGATCTGGGTTGATATAACTCTGTCTGCAATGCTCCATTCCTCCAAGTCAGGACAATGTCTTGTGAAAAGCCTACCCTGCTGGCTTGCTCACTTACTTACTCACTACTCACTAAAATGTAAGGATGCATAAGTGAGAATGCTTAGATTCCAATTATACTTTATACGTCGGACATATATTTATTCCCCCCCCCCACCCCAAATTAAAACCTATACACTAAAACCCAACAATAAGTTTATGTGAACTAGTAGAACTTTATGATATACAAGTAGCCAAAATTATTTGGTTAAATACATCACTTCCATAACCTGAAGTCTTTTAGATGTATTTATATTTACTTTTATCATGCCGTTAGATCTAAATGGAGTGTCACACACAGCAATGGTTGCAATAGTTTTACTTACCCCAATACACTTAGACACTTGTACCATAATATTGCCTTGAGGTGACACCTTCTTGTACATTGGACTTCCAACGATAAACACAACTATTAAAATTAATAAGAATATCATAAGACCAAACCATATTGGGAAAGGCATGTAAGATAAGAGGGATTGTTAAAAATGTCCTTTGGCTCATTTCTATTTGTTTGTAAAAAGCAATGTTATAAGTATGTGTTGCACAATATTTTAGCAACAGAAATTATTTTTCAACTTTGCATATATCATATAATTTTCTACAATTTAAAAAAATATATATTTTAGGATTTGCACCTTCTCTGTGAGTTTATACAATAGCCAGCCATATCAAGAATGAGTAAAGGCAGGTGAAGATCAATGAGGTCAGGCTAGATTACGGTAAGTAAGAAAGCTGTATGAAGAATGTTTAGTATTCTAGAGTCAAAGTCACTATACGTTGGGGAGAGATGAGAAAAGGATGATGAGTAGGGGTGTATATGTACTAACCAGTCAAAAATTAATATTTTCCCTTTTTGTGAAACTATTGTAAACCAATTTGGGGTATTTTCCTTCTTTTGGTTCAATAGCAGATACGGTAGAGATAAAGTTGAATTTAACGACCTTACATTTATGTACACAGTACAGATATGTTCAGCTTGTACACAGAATACACAGCGTGCATAACTTACTGAGTGCAATAACCATGAGAGCTGCTGGGACTCCAAATGCCAAAGGATAACACGACTGCTTTGTGTGGATGCCACACTCCTGCCCTGATAGAAAAAAAAAAACACAAGTCATGTTGTATATACACTGCAAAGGTACACAGGGCACGTATATTAAAACATCTAACTTAATCAAAAATAATAGGGGTTTAGTTACAATATATAAACATAAGTCTGGCACAATGCCAATGCACCCCATTTTTGTCAGGTCTTTACCTAGCAAGCTAATGCCTGCTCTTATGAGATTAACTCACTTACTTGTGAGGAAAGAGAAACCAATAGTATTTGGCAATAGAGATCGAATGCTAATTGCTTGCCAGTGCATTGTGGTGAGTTGACAACCGAGTTGGAAAATGTAGGTAATAAAATAAGTTTGATTAAGTCTCCAATTCATCTTGTTCCCCAAACTAAACTTTTCATGGCCTTTTCCAAATTAGTCTTGAAACCACATATGCGTATAAAAATAATCACTAAACTGGGACATGTAGAGATAAAACAAATAATTTTAGGGAAATCCTCCTCCTGGGGTTTTCTGCAATAAGGCACATGTGACAGGAAGGGATGCAAACCACAGGAGTTGGCCTGGACTCAAAGTTTGTGTATACAGGGTCGGTGCAAAACTATTTTGCACCCAAGTCAAGTCCCTCTACTTGCATCCCCTTTCCAACACAAAACAAAAATTGCCAGCTTTTCCTATCCCCAGAACCCTTGTGTTTCTCTCTATCCTCTTCTGCAGCCCCTGTGTGTCTCTACCCCCAAAAATCTTTGTGGGTTTCTTTCTCCCCTAGCACCTCTGTGTGTCTCTTCCCAAGCATCTGCGTGTCTCTTTAACCCCACAGCCCCTTTGTGCGTCTCTTCCACAGCCCCTTTGTGTGTCTCTTTCTCCCACCAGTCCATTTATATGTCAATTTCCCCGAGCTCCGTTGTGTGTCTCTTTCTCCCCAGACTCTTTTTGTGTTTCTTTCTATGCAGTGTACTCCTCCCCTCCTGACAGTCATCCAGACACTGCGCCCCCTTGGCTGTGCCGGCCCTGTGTGTGTATATATATACATATATATACACACATACATACACCCTTGAGGTGTCATTATTTTAAACAAATTCACGTTTGCCATTATGTATTTTTGATATTACATGATACTTTTATGCCTTGGTTAGAGTGTTATGACTTAAGGGTAATGTGTTAGGGTAGTGTAGTGGTTAAAGGTAATCTGTTAAAGTAGTATAGCTGTATAGAGGCGATTTCTGTTCTTAGGGCGGCACTGGGACATAGGTGTCTAAGAGTTAGCAGTAGTTATTTCTACTACCACCATTAAAGGAACACTACAGTGTTAGGAATACAAAGCTGTTTTCGACACGCTTGATGTTCTCGTGCAAAGCATTAAGCTGCACCATTATAAACTATGCATTATCTCTGGTTCATTATAAACATTTAGGATTCTAAAACATGATGCGTCCATTAGCTGACACGCAGATCGTGCAAAACTTTCATTTTCATTAATGAAAAAAAAATTATAGACAAAAAAGAGACACATCAAGCTAGCTAACTTCTTTAAATGCTTTTGTAGCTTTTTTGATTGTCAACAGTTGGACAAATGTCACCCTCCTTTAATATTTTACTACAAGTCTTTATCCATGCCTTATAGTGAAAAACACTGAAATATTAGAAACCATTAAAACACTTCTTCAACAAATACATTCTACAAATTAAATGTGTACCTCTTAGAATTGGAGTTATAATGGTAGACAAGAGACTCCCAGCATTGATTGAGAGATAAAAAATGGAAAAGAACTGACTTCTCTGTTTGTCCTGAAAAAGAAACCCTGTTATACTTCTGACACTGCTAATTACATTAGTGTTCTGCATATTGTTTTATCTTTTTTTCGAGGGCAAGAGATGTGTATAATTGAATATTTCCTCCTTCTAAGCGAATATATTTCATTATTGGTATAAACGCAAACAAATACAGGAAACCTGCATAATTTATGATTGAAATAATTTTACATGAGTGTTTCTAAATGCTGTTGGACATAGGGTTGTATAACATTTTAAACAATCTATCATGTGCAGAACGATAGTATTAGATACATATTAAAACAATTTATTTACACAAACTAAAGGCTAATTACATGAACTGTAATTTAAGGACATATTTTATTATAGTTTATTGCTTCTTCGGCCTTTTTACACACAAACACAGCTAAATGTCTAGAACAGAGATACAACGGGATATAAAAGAAGAATGAGTTTCAATTATAAGTGAGAGTGAGAGTTGGGAGATCCACTTTACTAGAATCCATGTCACCAACTGTTGTTTTATGATTACCAGATAAGAACTGATGAAGCATGATAAAGGTATATAATGGGTTAATATGTATTTGCTGTGTTGGAATGAAATGGTGAAATATTCCTGTTTATTGTGGCTGAAAGCAGAGATCTGCTATCTCCTCTATTTGAGGTTGTCCTGCTAGGCTTGAGAAACTGGCAAGTACAAGTCTATTCCCCCTATCCCTTCCTTTCTTCTGGTGGCAGCTGCATATAGGATGTAGAAAAGTGAAGATTTAAAAGTGCTGTTTGTGTAGTTAGACGAGAAAGTCTATACATCCATTCTGACAAACACACAGTCAGACACACACACACAGTCAGACACACACAGTCAGACACACACACACAGAGTCAGACACAAACACACAGTCACACACACACACACAGCCAGGCACACACAGTCAGGAACACACACACACAGTCAGGCACACACACACACACACACAGGCACACACACACAGTCAGACATCACACACACACACACAGTCAGACACACACACACAGTCAGACACACACACACACACAGTCAGACACAAACACACACACAAACAGACACAAACACACACAGTCAGACACACACACAGTCAGACACACACACACACACACAGTCAGACACACACCTCAAGTCAGACACACACACAGTCAGACACAAACACACACACACACACACAGTCAGACACAAACACACACACACACACAGTCAGACACACACTAAGTCAGACACACACACAGTCAGACACAAACACACACACACAGACACAAACACACACAATCACACAGTCAGACACAAACACACACACACACAGTCAGACACAAACACACACACACTCACATAAAAAAAAAATGACGTCATCTTCCAGCTCCCAGCCTCACTCTGCGGCGCGCGAGGGAGCTGAGCAGTCAGGTCAGAGGAAGAGCTCCCTCGCCAGCCGCCCGCCCGACCTCCAGCCAGAGCCGCCCAGCGCCCGGCATGCCCGTTAGCCGCGAGGCTAACAAGGCATTTGCCCTGGGCATTTGGGGGCGGCATTTTTTTGCCGCCCCCTGAAAACTGCCGCCCAAGGCAAATGCCTTGTTAGCCTCGCGGCTAATAAGCCCCTGATGGTACTGCATTACATTTTGCAGTACTGCAGAGCAAGATTGAAAAGCATATCTTAAACATATGTCAGTTAGTACCCTATTCCTTCTATTAGGACATGTACTAGTAAAAGAGTGAATTACAGTGGACTTATGGCCTACTTTAAAAATGCAGGTGAAATTTGTTGAAATCTGGTTACTTTGCCTGCATTTTTCATTAAAAGCACCATCCAGGCACACCTCAATACTGATTAAATAAGACCCTTTACAGTTAATGGTATACCTGGTGTTCTTCAAACTGGTCTCCACCAAAAGCAGACACACATGGTTTGATTCCACCAGTGCCAAGGGCGATGAGGAGAAGGCCAATCATGGACAATGCACTGTGGCAAGAAGTTTAATATTACTACTGGCACATCACCAGCTTCACATGTGTAAACATTGCCTTTACTTAATCCCATTAACATCAACTAAAACAACATGGAGATGCATAACAAAATATACATTATATACATTTAGTAAAAGTATTAAGGAATTAGTTCTTACACGTGGACAGTAGGATTATCTGGTATCCCATCTCTGTTTCCATCAGTTAGATCATGGATTGCACTTATGGATAGGATAACCTGTCCGACAGCATAGACAATTGATAAGTAGACAATGGTTCTGTTATATAAAAGACAAAGACATTGTTTTGTTAGCCTCGTTTTAGAACAATCATTATTAACAAGATAAAAGAGTTTGCACTGATGTATGTAGATTATATGCATAGAATCATACTGGGTATATCATATTTCTCCACCAAGCCAAGATCATGACTTTCGAAATACCCATTAAGACATCATTATCATCATATTTCAAGACATTTGCTTTTCAAAGTTGTAAATAAATTGATTATTGACTTAATATTTTACATACCTATTGGTTTGCATTGTTTGCAAGCCTTTTAACAATAAACATTTATAACTGATAATATCTAATTATATGCATATTTGGCAACAAAAGCACCATTTTCTTGTTTGTTGTCTTGTTCTCCGGTTAGTGTTATCTCTAAATCAGCTAACTGGTCTTTCAAAAACATGCACTAACATTGTCTGAGGGAACTCTTTAAAAAGATCATGTAAGGTAAGTTAAGATAGAGTTAGACTGAATATTAGAGTTAGTAAATGTGCTACAGCACCGCTAGCGATGATGTTTTGTTTTAAGGTAAGGGATACAGTTGTGGTTAGTGATAAATCTAGCCTAATCTTAAATCTTATTCTAGCCAAGCCCCCAAATGTCAATCTAACCCTAAGTGTAATTCTAATCCTACATTCACTTCTAACACGTTAATCTTGCTCTGTAATGTCAATCCCTAATCCTAATTGGTAACCTCAGCCTTAACTGAAATTTCATAGCTAACAGTGAGTGTAGCATACTTCCAAACCATAACTATATACGTAACTGACTTCACTTACCATGCCGAGCAACCATCTTCAGATGCTGTGTGTACGTAAATGTTATAGCTCCTCCCACATAGTGAAATAAACCCATCCTAAAACCAGCCCTATACCATGCACAAAGTCCAATTCTAAACAAGTTCTATGAATCACATTGTGACACTAAATCTTTGTATGAATTTATTATTATTATATTATATTATATGTATTATATGACCATTTGTTTATAAACTCCACACCTGTCATATTAATTCCAGGTCACAAAGTGTTAACTACTAACAATACAACTTTCTGCATTAAAACACTGTAACCTTAGCGATACCACACAGTGCTATATAATTAACTTCAATTATGGTGTATTAGAGTGGCACTGACACAAAACATCTAACTGGACAGTGACGGAGCCTGTTCTCTGTGGTGATCGGACGCGTGCTGCAAGGGCTCCCACGCACTATTCTAATTTAAGACAAAAAACCCTGGCTAAACTCCAGAAACTGCTACCACACCAGGCTAGCTACACAGCGAAGGCAGAAACAAATCAGCGGATACGTCACCCTGGTGCCTGCCTACGCTACCAGGAGCTGCGGAGGCTTATCGAGGCCTGCAGACTGCTAGGCGGGAGAAGGGTGGCCGACTTCCCCACCAGATGGTACGTCAAGTGGACCTACTCTGCTCCCACTCCCACCCCTTGGACCGGTGGGGGTTAACCCGCTCTCCACTGGGCAGCTTTAAGCAAATACTGTAGCTTTCCACTCAGAATGGACACTCAGCCTACACCACTCAAAATGGCACCTGACACGCTGCCTGACCCCAAGGACAAGGGCCTAATCGGGCAGCCACATCACAGCTCCACTGAATCCACCTTACAGCGACACGAGGAACTATTCCAAAGGTTCTGGTTGCAACTCAAAGCACGCAGGATGACCCGCGGGTTCACACAGAGGACCTCCAAACAAAGACACTTGCTGCCAAAGCGGACACCACCCAGGTGAGACAACAACTACAGCATGCACCAAAGCACAGGTTTGACCGCCTGGGCCGAGATGCCACCCGAGGTATAGCCTTACCGCATCATCCACACGGGCTGTGGATTGTCCCTCGACAGCAGAGGCTAACACCCCGACCGTCAGTTTGTCCACTGCGGGGGAAAGTCTTGGCTCCACTGAGTCACCAAGACTGTGGTATCCAGATGCAGGCCCTCAACCAGGCCCAGGGCTGGAGGGGAGACCCGCTCTGAGGCGGCAACACAGCTTTGCAAACAGACCCTCGATGCCACACTTCATACTGGCCTCTTCAGGGTATCAGATAAAGCCGGCATGGCTCACCACAAGTCAGATCCTGATGATGAACTCCAGACACAGCTGATACGCCCACGATTTTGATCTATGCTTCTGTTTGTTCTTCATCTGCCCATCCCCCCTATACCCTAGCACATACTCCGAAAGGCAGTATACTAAAACCCATAGCATTACACCGTGCCCAAGTGGATACTTTATCTTGCATATATTTAGTATAGATAAGACATGTTTGAGCCTAATAGTCACTATTATATGTTTAACCCCTCATACACAAGCCAGGTTCCACCCTGATGCTATGCTCCTGGACAATAACTTGACTTGTGTACCTTGCTAGCTTGAAAAACAAAACACATCTAACCGTTCAGAATCTATCGTTCAACCTTGTTTTAATATAAAATTGTGCACGTTTGCTCTACTACCCCAAATGTACAATGTGAAGTTGTGCGTGAGGATTGCCGCTGGGGTACCTCAGGCTTGTATGTAACGATCTTAAGCACTGCAAAAATACAACATTTAAAAAAAAATTAAAAACCATCTAACTGGACATGTTATTTCCCTCTCAGAATTACACGGGACTTGGGTCAAACAATGAAATGGCCTTAATTAGACCAGGGATTTTTCAGGACTCCACTCTGGGCTACAAACGGAGTCAGTCCTCCTCTCACTCCCGCCCTATAGCAAAACCTCTGGGCAACCTACGTCTGTGAGTAACTAACTTGAACATGACACCAGAGATAACTGGCTTTCAACTACATCATATGCTAATGAGTTTGTACAACACATAGCCAGAAATGCTTTTTTATTTTTGTGCTAGATAATTGTGCTAAATTCCAACATAAAATAAGTTGCACAAAGGCTAGTCGATGAGTTTCTGGCATAAAATGTCTGATAGGACATTTATGCCTTTTGAAAAATGTTGTAATAATCATCTACATCTTGACAAAGAACGTGTAGGTCGAAACGTTGCAATGGGTTCAATAAATTTGCCTTTTTGTATCCTGAGAGTGCCCTGGACTTCTCTTCTATTATACCTCATCAAATATTTGGTTCCTGGTACTGGGACTGGTCTGGTGCACCTGGATACATTTCAAATGGGTTTGAGCGAAATTCCACATTCCTGCTATATTGTAGTAATCATCTACATGATATGATATCCTCTACTGCTGCAAATGTTAATGCATTGACATATTTAAGCAAAAGTATCTGATCTGTTACCTGACTCAAATGTAAGGTTCTGATAACTTTAAATCTTCGTCAATTGAACAATGAAGCCACTACCTGCAGACTATCATGTCAAACATTGGCTATAAATACACAAAACATCAAATAATATTCCAAATGATTATTTTGATGTTGCTTAATATTTGAAACCAAAAAATATTTTTTCTCAGATGTTCCATAAAGCCTTACTTGAATTTCCCCAGCCAGGAGTCAGCAATGATAGCCCCAAGGATTGGTGTCAAGTAGCAGACAGCAACAAATGTATGGTAAATGACAGTGGATAGGTTATCGTCCCACAGTATGAAATATTTGAAGTACAAAACCAGCACCGCTATATGAAAGATAAGGGGTTAGAAATTAGAGTTAATATTAATGGACAATAGTGGAGTTAATAGTGAAGCAGTCACTGTAGAACCAGAGTGAATGTCCCTGTTTATTGATCCACTTTAAGTACTGTTATGTAGAATTGAGCTTGACAAACAGCTCGTAGTCTTTGTTAGACAAAAAAAAAAAAAAACATGATAAAAGTACCTCGCATTCCATAGTAGGAGAACCTCTCACAGAACTCATTGATGACAATGAAGAAGATACTCAAGGGATAACCAAAACAGCTTAGCTAGAAGGAAATAAAAAAACATTTTTAATCATACAATAATGTTCTGCAAACTATTGGTAGCTACCTGCACGATGCGTCTTTTAAAGCTGGGCCATCACATTTTTTGTGTTTGTTTTTTTTTTTTAAATCAGTCACCCTAGTAAATAATGTTGTTTTATGTATTTTCAGAAAAATACCAACCAAAATAATGTATTCATTTATTTAAATTATATTGCACCAGATAATATAGACCATCATACTGGATAATTAATGTTGAATGTGTGTCCTGCTAGTTTTTTATTCAAGGATGTTTCTTCCATCTTCAAAGTTATTTTACTTATTTGTATTTCAGGATATCCATATGCACATCTTACAAATCCTTACATTCCTAACTCACCTACTGCTAGTTTTTTTCCAATTTATGCTACCCTTTCATTGATGTAGCATCTTGTTACAGGAACACTCCAAGCAGTGTGGTGTAACACTTTGACTTCTTACCTGGGGATCTGCTAAGTACCGGCCACTGCCTCCTATCACACTCCAGAAGAGTGGGAGTGTCAGCTGATTGCTCTCAGACAACGAACTAAGCCCTGCACCTCAAGGTTCCAAGTTTAGCTTGAAAGCGGAGAGCATCCAACTGAGAGAAGGAAGGGAGTAGTGCCTGATGAACCCCTGGTAGAAGTCAAACCCTTCTAAAATGGTTTGACTACTCACTGTAGGGGTTATGGTACTTGAAGTGTTGCGTAAATGCTCATTAAATGCTGATACTCACTTATACTGCATTCTTTGATTGGGTATTTTCAATGCATTCTATGTGCCTTTACTTTTATTCACGTTGTTGCTATATTACATGGCTTTCTATATTTTCTTTGGCAAAAGCTTAATAAATTAAATGATATAAAAAAATATATTTATACTTTTTTTTTAAGTTTCTGTCATGCCTCCACTCTATGTTAATAAGGCTTGCACTACCTCTGCTACATGACTTTTCTAGTTACCTATTGCACTTTTTGTGAAGGAGTGCATTACGCATCAGTCAGTCAATACTTGCTTCAATAAACAGTTAGTCATCACTTCTTTAAATATACATAAGCAAACATATCTTGCTTAAGTACGTCTCATGACAAACTATTTCAAACAAAGTATTTTAGATTATTTTATAAAAGTCTCTTTTGCTGTGCTTTCCCTCGATGGCTGTAACCTGTACAATTTTTACAACAAAGCCAAATATGCAGTAAGTGTTTTTCTTCCCAGTGAAGTAGAGTAGGATGTCTTCCATTTAACCAGTTATCATGTTACAATTACTTTCTGATTTATCATGATGACAATGAATAGATTGTCCACCTCTGCTTGCCGGTGGGACCAGGATTACAATTCACTGGGAGAGTACAAAGCCATTACTGAGTAGGTTTATTAATGTTAATACAACACAAGTAATGTACCAACCTTTGACCTTTCGCTGCTCCCTGGAAAGAGAAGAAAACAAGTAAATTTGGCTTCATTCTATTTATTTAGTCCTTCTTTAATAGCTCCCTCCTACAACTGAAATAATATCAGGATTATTATAAAATCCTAAGAACATCTGTTGAATTTCAATGGAAAGTCATAGTCATGTCACTAATAGATGGTTAGCTTAAAGCCTCATTTTACATTATATAAGGTGGATGTATTCATGTGTACAAACAAAAACAGGGCAATGCACAAAACCAGGAACTGATGTCTATAGCTAAAATAACTGAGCAGAAAAATGATCTATTGCTATCCTACCACGTATCCTCCCTGTGTTCTAATGCTGTCTTGCCTGCATAATGTAAGGCGTTTTCAGCTGTCTAGTGATGTATCTTGGGGAGCCAAGTTTTGATTGGCTGACACCCTGGACCAACACTAGTTACCTGCATAGTGATATCAACTTATGCATTCCTTTTTTAACTGAATCCCAATTTGACAGATTTTCAAACAATCAGAAATTTGTCAAAAATTCCCAACTAAATGCTACATAGACAAATCACAAAACAAACAAAACCGGACAAACTGAGCCGTGATTCAGAATTTAGTCTGTGTCGCCACAAAAAGACGATTGATGGAGGAAAAAGATGAACTATGATTAGGGGAAAGCTTCCAAATGTTCAATGTATTCACCAATCTAGAGAGAAGTGATCAATAAAGGGGAAGAAAGGAGTATCAGTAAAAAAATAAAATAAAAATAATAATAATAAAAAAAAATATATATATATCAATATTATTTTATGATTTCTAAAACATAACATTTAATATTGTCATTAAAAACATTGTGTTACAAGGTGAGATAGTGTAGGAAATAGGCCCACTTATTAAAATCTAATCAATATTCTCTAAAGAAAAAGTGAAGAAAGAAAAAGAAAAAAGAACATTGTATAATTAATAACCAAATGGTTGTAGAATTAGAGATGAAACACAGTTTTGTTTTTGCTACGTATATCTAAAGGTAGAAAAGTGTCTGTGATATTGTGATGGAAGTTAAACTTCCAGGGAGAGACTGGCTGTTTATAATTGGGTTATTGGGTGAAACTGGGTTTCATCTCTAATTCTACAACCATTTGGTTATTAATTATACAATTTTATTTTTTATTTTTTCACTTTTTCTTTAGAGAATATTGATTTTAATTTAATAAGTGGGCCTATTTCCTATGCAAATTCTATTTAAGTGTCACAAAGATTAAATATTTAGTTTTTCAGTTTAACTCATGGATGGCATTGTGTCTCAGGGTTCTTTTGATCACTGTAAACAATCTCGGACACCTGTGATAATTAGATTGCCAGGTGAGCCCAGTTTAAGGAAAAACTACTAAAGGAGGGTGTTCCACATTATTAAGCAGAGCACCATTTTCATGCAATATGGGGACGAAAAAGGATCTCTCTGCTGCTGAAAAGAATGAAATAGTTCAATGCCTTGGATGAGGTATGAAAACATTAGATATTTCACGAAAACTTAAGCGTGATCATCGCACTATTAAGAGATTTTTGGCTGATTCAGAGCACAGACGGGTTCATGCAGATAAAGGCACATTGAGGAGGATTTCTGCCAGATCCATGCATTGGATCAAGAGAGCAGCTGCTAAAATACCATTACATAGCAGCAAACAGATATTTGAAGCTGCTGGTGCCTCTGGAGTCCCACGGACATCAAGGTGTAGAATCCTCCAGAGTCTTGCAACTGTGCATAAACCTTCTATTCGGCCACCACTAACTAATGCTCAAAAGCAGAAACAGCTGCATTGGGCAGAAAAATACATGAAGACTAATTTTCAATCAGTCCTGTTCACTGATGAGTGCCGAGCAAACTCTGGATGGTCCAGATGGATGGAGTAGTGGATGGTTGGTGGATGGCCACCCTGTTCCAACAAGGCTTCGACGTCAGCAAGGCGGTGGTGGAGTCATGTTTTGGGCCTGAATCATGGGAAGAGAGCTGGTCAGCCCCTTTAGGGTCCCTGAAGGTGTAACTATGACCTCTGCAAAGTATGTGGAGTTTCTGACTGACCACTTTCTTCCCTGCTACAGAAGGAAGAACTATGCTTTCCGTAATAAAATCATCTTCATGCATGACATTGCACCATCTCATGCTGCAAAGAATACCTCTGCATCAATGGCTGCTAAGGGGATAAAAGGAGAGAAAGTCATGGTGTGGCCTCCATCCTCTCCTGACCTCAATCCTATAGAGAACCTTTGGATCATCCTCAAGCAAAAGATCTATGTGGGTGGGAAGCAGTTTACATCCAATCAGCAGCTCTGGGAGGCTATTCTGACATCTTGCAAACAAATTCAAGCAGAAACTGTCCAAAAACTCACAATGGATGCAAGACTTGTGAAGCTGCTATCAAATAAGGGGTCCTATGTTAAAATGTAAGGTGACCTGTTAAAATGTTTAAAAAGTTAAAATGTTGTTATAAGTTTGATTGAAATAGCTTTTGATTTTAGTAAATATGCTGCAAACACAACAAATGACAATTTTTAGTTCTTTACAACCTATAAAGTGTTTTGAAACTTACTGTGCGTAATAATTTGGAACAGTGCATTGTAAGTTTATGTTTTAAAAAAAAAACTGTTTGGAACAGGGTGTAAATACATTCTTTTTTTATAGAGTTCCCATTTTTTTTCCCTTTAGCTGGTTACTTCTCACTTGATCTGTGAAAATGTCCCTATCAGTGTATTACAAAATATATACATAATATTTATTTTATTTTTGAATTAATTACACTAATAGGCACATATTTGCACCATTTGCCTTGTCTGAATAGCTTTTCCAGAAACGATCGCAAGGACAAGATTCAGCTAAACCAAAATTCCACATAGAGAAAACCCAAATTGCCCAAAACAATGTTTTATTTCTTCGCACGGATCACATTTTTTCATTTCGCACAGGTCTATTTCCTAGCCTACTACTAGCCACCTGCTCTTTACATTACCAGCTGTACAATTTAAGCATTATAAAATGCATTATAGTTAATGTAACAGAAAATTTGCCATATTTCTATTCCATTGTGAATTTGTAAAGTAGAATTGAAACCCAGAATTTGAAACTGAATTCCTTAAAGGGACATTATAGGCACCCAGACCACTTCATCTCATTGAAGTGGTCTGGGTGCAGTGTCCCAGTTCCCTTAACACTGCAATATAAAACACTGCAGTTTTAGAGAAACTTCAATGTTTATAATGAAGAGTTAAGACTGCCTCTAGTGGCTGTTTTCCAGACAGGCAGTAGAGGCGTTTCCTCCAGTTTCACAGAGTTTAACTCTGTGAAACGATGCTGGACGTCCTCACGTTGTACATGAGGATGTCCAGCATCTTGCAATAACCCACAGGAAACATTTTAATTAATGCTTTCCTATGGGTAAAGCCTAATGCACATGGAGTTCACGCTGAAATCGGAGGAAACCCATCTAGCAAGGAATAGCGACAATGCATTCAGTTAAAGGGACACTCCAGGCACCCAGACCACTTCTGCCCATTGGAGTAGTCTGGGTGCCAACTCCCACTACCCTTAACCCTGCAAGTGTAATTATTGCAGTTTTTACAAACTGCAAAAATTACCTTGCAGGGTTAAGTCCTCCTCTAGTGGCTGTATATGAGGCAGCCACTAGAGGAACTTCTGGGTTCTTAGAACACGAAAAGTGTGCTATACGATGCTGGACATCCTCACGCTATGTGAGGACCTCCAGCGTCGCCAAAACCCCCATAGGAAAGCATTGAATAATGCTTTCCTATGGGGAGGTCTAATGTGTGTGCACGGCCATTGCCGTGCATGCGCATTAGGTCTCCCCCGCCGACATCAGACAGCGCCAAGGTACATCGGAACTGGACTCCGGCAAGTCACTGAAGGAGAGGGGCACCGCGGGGTCCTGCAGTGCCAGGAAAGCGGATATGTTTTCCTGGCACTGGAGAGTCTCTTTACGTGTAAGTAAGACTTTTTAACCTTTTCATGGCCCAGGGAGGTCGAGGGGCAGATGACCACTGTAGTGTTAGGAATACAGTTTTTAATTTCTAATTCTTTTAACAACTAATGTATGTTTAAAGCAAATTATGTAACCACTATTGATTGATTCTGTACATTGATTTGGTTATATTAGTTTATGCTTTAATAAGAACAATAAAGCACTGATATTAAGTGAACATTGTTCATATAATTTTGATCAATTGCTGACATAACTCAAAAATGTGCACCCGATTAATGATTTCACAGTTCGCTTTGACTTTTACTATAGCATTAATGGGGCTTGATGCTTTACAGAAATAACACATTAACCTTTTCAGACATGGATGGTCTAATACACATAGGTTTATGGTTATGTTTTGCTGCAAATGGTCCAACACCTGGATGGTAGTGACGTGCTCAACAACGGTGGAACTTGTATTCAGACATTTAAAAACTATTACATTTCTAAATGACTAAGGAGGCATTGTGGACCTGCCCTCCCCTTGTCTCCAAGACATTGCAGTTTAAATTTAAAAAAATGGTACTTGTGTACATCCAAAAAATATTCATTAAGATTTAATAAGCAGGAGTTTAATTCTTATTTATGCCCAATGCTAGGAATGTTAAATCTTTATGTTATAGGGCTACCAATGAAAGTGCAAACAGTTTTAGAAGAAAGAAATAGGCGAACTGCTATAAAAATATTGACACCACAAACTATTTTTATGGTATATATATATATATATATATATATATATATATATATCCCCACTTAAAGGGCCATTTGCCAATCGTCTTGTACTTTCTGGTTCTAATAGTGCAGTAAACTCAGGCCTCACAGTGGTATCCACACTATAATGCCCAGACCTATTTGATCACCCTACGCCAGCAAACAATTATGAGAGATTTAGTCTGTGGACAGCTGTGAGGACTAAATTTGACATTACTTCCTTTGTGTTTCGTTCTCCTTTGGAAGCTGACATGACATAATTACTTCCACCAAATCAATATAAAAAAACGAATAGGAAAAGCTGTTGCCATCATATCAGCATGTTTACTACAAATTATAAAAAGCATAACATACTAATATGCACAAAAATAACAAAACAGTTACAAGGTAATTATTATTTTTACTCAAAAATAAAGAAAATAACCATAGAACCATAACCATAACCATGCTTAATATTATTTTTAGCCCACTGGCCATCATGCCGTGTACATGTATGTGTGTGATAAATAGTCCATTTCTCATAAATTCTTTTTTCCATATCTGATGGCAACTACTATCCCTAGTAATAAAATGAGACAGCATTTTAAAAAGGGTCAAGGGAGACTTAATCTTTTGTATATGATCATTTTATGTGGAAATTTGTGCACAAGTTGAAGTAATCAAAGTGCATTGTTTGCATATTATATGTCACTAGAATGTTATCTAACAATGAAGTAATAAAAGGTTCATTGAATTTCAAATATGCATAGTAAACACTTTAACACAGATTGTTAATTTTGTTGGGAAAGCCATTGTCAGTTGCTTTAGTAACTGTTGCAGTAAATGCTATTCTAATCTAGATGCACCATATTGAAACATTTGGTCCTGTTATATAACAAAACCAGATAAAATGCTTGAATTTAAAACATTGTTTGGTACATTTAGTATGCATCACAACTTGACACATAATACAATATTGCATAATTTATTGATTAACTACATTTACATTAATACTTACAAAACAGTATAACAGAACCATAAAAACAATATATACAGAATAATATATCCTATAAAAAATAACTTTAGTCTTATGCTAGTTATTTTGTCGGTTATTAACTAGGAGTTCATCATCCTTGGGGAAATATACAAATCTGCCTCTCCATTTTTCCCTGATACATGAACCATTACTAAAATCATATAAACCAAAATGAGGACATCAACATTAAGTAAATGGAATCTAGGTGTTTGAAAATGAATGGCAAAAGATATCAGATTTTGGCATCTTTGGGAAAAAAATAATAGTCTTTTACAGACAAAAATAATTTTATTTACATAGGAATTGTCAGCAGTTATGTGCCCACTCTCCTTTGGTTAGCTATGGACATCAGTACCAGATAGTGTCTTTCTTAAAGTTTGCTGTTACAGTTGTGGATATTGCATATGGGGCAGACATACACAATGGTGACATTTCTGGTGAATAAATGAGTCTTGAGAAGCAGTATAAATAGGTGAAATGTTCCTGGAACTCTTCTGTCATCAGGGCCACCATCTTCTCATCACAGCTCCCGGCAGAATAATATGCCAGGAGTTGCTGCTTCTAATACAAATTCCCTTTTCATATATACATGAAGCTACAAAACAAGCCTCTATAGACTAGGCATTTACCTTCTTAGTCTTCGTCTCTATGCAACAAGTAACTATCTTGATTACTTAATCTAATTTCATTCTGAAACTTTTCATGTACATTGGTGCGAGTTTAGGTCTACCAATAACACAACCTCTATTGTAATATTTACAGGGATACTTAAATTATCTAATCTCTTTTTCGTAGTCCTATCTCTAACACAAATTTACAACCACTTTTGATACTTTATCTCATTGTACGTGACATCCCTATCTAGAATACAGGAGCATTGGATCATTGTTATCTCTATATTAATGTATGCCTTTCGTGACGTGTGATGCAATCTATTATTTCTGACTACGCTCTGTAATGCACAAAGTTTGTCAATAAAAACTAAAAAAAAAATATATATATATATAGTATCCAGGAAGAGAGCACTCTGGAGTCTTATAACTTAAAGTAAATAATAATAATATAATAATAGCACAATAAAGCAGCATTTACTTTTTAAATTATAAGACTCCAGAGTGCTCTCTTCTTGGATACTATATACTGCTTGGAGATTGTTTGCACCGGAGCACGAAAAGACTGGGAACCTTGAGTGCTGGGATCTGGGATTATATATATATAAATTTACAACCTCTCTCTGTCAATATAAAATCTCTCCTTGACCTTCTTCAATCTTCCTTCCTCCATTATACTGAAACTGCCCTTGCCAAAGTGAATAATGACTTAACTCTAATGTTTATTAGTCTCTCTTAAGTCTTCACGACTTCTCTGCTGCCTTTGATACTGTTGACCACTCTCTTCTTCTTCAAACTCTCCACAATCGTGGACTCAGTGACACTGTACTTTCTTGATTTTCATCCTATTATTCTGAACACCCATTTAATTTCTCCTTCTCTGGTGACACCTCCTAGAATGTGTCACAAACTGTCTCATCTATAACTGAGTGTTTTCCCATTATCTAAGACCTAATCTATCTAAAACAGAACTCCTCATTTTCCCACTGTCAAATAGCCCTTCTCCATCTATCTCCCTGCACATCAACATGACACCTATTAACGTGGGGTAATCATGCTTCCTGCCTTGGAGTTACCATGTCTCGGGTCTAACCTTTTTGTCTCACATTCAGTTGATCTTCAAATCCTGTAACTTCCACCTTAAAACTATTGCCCACATTCACCTTTTTTAAACTCAAGATATAACTAAGGCACCTGTACATGCACTCATAATTTCCTGACTTGACGCCAGCAATTCTAAAAACCTGCATTGCCTCTCTTTAGTCTGTAATGAATGCTGTCACCAGACTCAAATGTCTGACTGAACATTACCCCCACATCACACCCTTTGCCAATCTTTATGGTGGATTCCTGTACTCTTCTGTAACTTCTAACATTTACCTACAAAGCCCTCAATAATTCCATTCTTCACTATATTTCCTTTTTACTTAACAAAAACACTCCTTCTTGTTCACATCACCCTGAAAGCAACCTTCTCCTGATATCTGCTCATTCTTGCACAGCCAATTGTCTTCCTCACTTCCCCTGCCGCTATAGCCGAGCTCACTCTCCCTCCTTCCACTGTTCACTTGCTCCACACACCACTAATACTAGCTTATTGTGACACAGATATCTTATCTTTCAGTCCCCTCTTCCCCTCTGACATGCTTTTATTCCTCTTGTGCTTCTTTACCCCTTCGTCGTAGATTGAAAGATTGTTTGAGCAGGGCTTTCTTCCCTTCTTGCCTCTGTTAATACTTGTCAAATATTCTCATTCTATAATTTTTGGCGCTATAAATATTAATAAAAAAAAAATAATAACAATATGTAAGCTCTCTATTACTGCACTAAATAACTGAAATTAGCTTTTTGGAAAGTAACATTACAATGACATCACATCACAGCAAGCCATACCAAAAATGACTAGAATTAATATAACATTAAGTGGTTATATCTGACATCTATAAGAATTCTATTAAATCAGAATTATATCGCTGTCCTTTTTGGAATTCACATTATAAAATCTCCTTTTTTGGAGAAGATTTTTTTCCAATTCATTACTTTAAACCAGAATGATAATTTTAAAAGTCCTGGCATGTAGCTTATTACTTAATTGACATGCAATGAGCACAGCAGATCTAAACTTAGCCAGTACTGTAATAAGTAATTAATAAACAAAGTATTTGTGACGCCACATGTTCATAATCTTTTCATTTGGTAACTGTTTATCAATTTTCCCATAGACAGAAACAGAAAAGTTCTTTATAGAAACAAAAAAACAATAATTAAATATAATTTAATAATTACCAAGAATGACAAAGTATTCAAACTGGAAGCATAGCTTAACTGACTTAAATGTTTCCAGTTCGTCAATTGTTACACTGAGTTTGAAATTCACTTTGAGTTCTCACTTTAGTGAATAATCCTGTTAATGATCATAGGCATTCTTGTTTTAACGGATGGACACTCCAGCTTTGCTAGATTCACCTAAATGAGTATCACCGTCTGATGGACAGCACATGAAAAGTACAGCCCTGTAATAAGTAGCTGCCATATAATGTCTACATGGCAGATTTAACAAACCTGCTGCAACTGATAGTTTGGGGGACAGTGTTAAGCATCTCTCTAATAAACTGGCACCCCTCACCTCCACATAAATAAAATAAAGTATATATCATTTAATTTGTATATACAAGCTAAAAAAACAAACATTTCTTGTGTGAGCTTCACGTCTACTTAAATAACGTCTATAAAACCTAGCACCCTGATTGAATCTCTGTTGTCTTTGATGCAGCATTTTTTGCCCATGCAACACACACGTTATTTACAGTAAATGCGATGTACATAACCAACAGGATGCATACAAGTCCCTGTAAGAAAATAGCTGCTCACTTGTAGCTCAGTCACACAGTTTCCCAGTGGGCAGGTGACAAGCAGTAAACAGTTACATATTTCATACTTCCTAACAATCTCATACAACATTAATTAGGTGAAAGCTGGATTAAGAATGCTTGTGAATTGAAACATACCCATGATGGTGATCAGGATACTGTATGACTGAATGGAAAAGTATCCTTTGGTGACTGAGGGACAATGTCCTGACTAGCCCTTACATTTAATGTTTCTGCTCCTGGATGCAGTCCAGTATTAGGTACTTATTAAAATATACAGCTCAGAGACTCCTCCTAACTAAAGTACCCATAGGTAACCCCTCCCCTATTTGCACGCAGGAGGAATGATACAGCCCAGGAATTCAGCAAGCTCCTGAGGGAAAGGGTGTGAGGTATCTATGTCATGAGAGCATTGATGGGGTTCCAAGGTCATTGCCTAAATCAGGAATTGTGCAGAATTTACACATTCTGGGCAAATTCTGGTTAAAAAAAAGGGAATTACAAATGTATGGTCAGACTAGTCATGGTGGAGAATTTCTGTCAGTTTGGCTAATTTAGCTTTTTTCATTCCTATGTCAATTGTCCATGTTTCCTAGTTTAAACAACCCCTTGGAAAGTATTTTGGAAGTACTTGTTGGTAGTGGCTTTTTATAATGAGAAACATCATCAGCCATATACACAATAGTCAGGAAGCTGATAGAACCCTAAATCAGGTAACATGACAAAATCAAACATGGAGAGGTAGCAATAGTAATATATGGACAATAAGATGTATTACTAGCAGTTAGTTGGGCTGGGATTAAAGAATTACCTCCATTGAGATATCACTACTGTACCAAGAAAACGTATGACTGACTGATGAATGAATGTGGGTTGAGAAATTTATTCCCTAAAAAAAGAGGTGTTAACCCCCTCCCTTTATTCATTTTATTGGCTGAGATACAGACTCTTACAGGATTGAATTAAAGAATGTTAAGAACCAGGTGATAATTTTAAAAATATAGGTTAAATTAGGATTAAGTTAAGGGAGAGACAGGAGGAGGGAATACACTATTGATGACGACTCTCTACCAAAGCCTTAAACAATGAAGTATTTGGAAAATATTTTGGCTGGTACTGTCTGAATTAGGGAAGAAAAAAAAAAAAGAATTACCTCCAAAGAATTAATGATAATAATTTAGAAGCAACCCCTAAAAAAGCCACTCTCCCTGATCCAGACATTTAGTCCCTGACTGTGGAAGTCCAAGTCATTGAATGTTCAGGTTATAGTGGACGTAAAGACTACTGTATTGAAAGATGTCACCAAGGTCAATTGTGCTTTGTTTAGGAAATTCTAACTCTGAGGCGCCGTTTTTCCAAACTAAAGAGATTTCAATTTTTTAACCTTTCTTCGTAACTAAAGTGCTCCATTTCTTTTACCAATTTTGTAGGTTGTCTCTGCACTTTTTCTAGTGCCATGATATCCTTCTTTAGAACAAGTGCCCAAAATTGCACAGCATATTCAAGGTGTTGTCTTTTTATATTGCTGCCTAATTTGTTGTCTGTAACAATTCCCAAATCCTTCTCGTGTGTTATTTTCCCTAATTCACTACCATTCAGGGTGTAAATTGCTTGTGCATCCTTGACCCTGAAGTGCATACCTTTTTAATTTCTCTACATTAAATTTAATCTGCCATTTTAGTGCCCAGTCCCCCAATCTATCCAAATCTCTCTGCAGTAAAGCAATATCCTGCTTACATTTTATTACTTTACAAAGTTTTTTTTTTGTAAATCTCTTTATTATGCAAGAGTTTAAAGTTACAGCTTTACAACTTTACAATATTTTACCATTGTACAATAAATCAGGTGTGATACAAGTCATAACCAGTATCCTTATACGGTGTTTCAAACATTTAAACTACTGGGGCTTTTTTTGTTTTATTATAATTTTTTTGTTTTTGTTTCTCAAAGCGTGGTTTTGTTAGTTGCGTAGGGTATCTGAGTGTAACATTGAGACTCGCAGGTCTCCGCAATCATAGTATTTATACAGTTCAACAATATGCTATGTGTACAGACTGAAGGAATATCTAAGTGTTTGTAAGTAAGGCGGCTTACTTAGTTCGGACTCGCAGGTCCACATTGGTGTTGTTGGGTATGCATTGCCATGCGGATGTGGTGGTGTTCATTGGGTCATGTTTCGTTACTAGTAATATATGTAGCAGAGATTCACCTGCTTGTCTATGCGTTGCTTTTCGGGTCAGAATCTTACTCTGGTCTATTATTGTGGGAAATAGTTTCCGTGTGTTGGCTAGTAGTTTGTGTGGGAGATGCCCTAGTCTTTGTTTCGCTGATATGCTTGGCTATGGGTATTGTCGCCAATCCTTGTGGCAGAGCCTGCGGTTCGCGTATTGTTGAGTCTCGTATGTAGGTTTTCTCACTGCATTATTGGTGTGTGTATCAGTAACATCGTAAGGTGAGTATGGTGTAGGTCTACGTGATACAGGGCCTTATATGTGCATTGTCCCCTCCATCTACTCTTTCAGTGATGGAATATGCAACAAGGCGTATCTCATGTTTCCTATGGGTTGAACTGCTCCCCACGTCACCTTAGGTACTTTACAAAGTTGTATGTCATCTGCAAACAGTAAAACATGGCTTCCAATACCTATTTCAAGATCATTTATAAATATGTTAAATAGAAGCAGTCCGAAAACAGAACAGGGACACCACTTACCACTTTTGTCACAATTGTCCCCCAAAACAAGGACAGAAGGTGCCTGTAGCAAGTGTGTTAAAAAATTATAAGCTTAGAGTCATGTCTACAAATGCTCGCGGTTTAGGGAATAAGATCCATGAACTTGTGGCAATAATGTCAACTGATAGTGTAGATTTAGTCACTGTTACTGAGACATGGTATAATGAGAAAAATGACTGGGACATAGCAATACCAGGGTACTCTTTATATAGGAAAGATAGGGAAGGCATTAAAGGGGGAGGGGTGGCCTTGTATGTGAAGGATATCATAAAATCTAGCCTAATAAAAGTTAGTGAGGCAAACATAGAGTCCGTTTGGGCTACGTTAAAATTTGGTAATCACACAGTAACTCGTGTAGGTGTGATTTATAGGCCCCCAGGACAAATTGAAGAGTTAGATAATCTACTAGTTGAGGAAATAGCTAAAATGACAATGAAGGGGGAAGTTATCATCATGGGTGACTTTAATCTTCCTGATGTAAATTGGAAAACAAAATTAGCTACTTGTGCCAGGAGCACACATATTCTAAACTCCCTACTGGGATTGTCTCTAAAACAAGTTGTTGAGGAGCCAACTCGTAAAGAGGCCATACTAGATTTAGTGTTAACAAATGGAGATTTGGTATCAGATATTACTGTAGGTGAAAATTTAGGATCCAGTGATCATCAGTCAGTGTGGTTTAATATAAGAACAGGGACACCACACAAAAACAAAAGTTTTAGACTTTAGAAAAGCAGATTTTTCTAAAATTAGAATATGGGTAGAGGAGTCATTATCAGACTGGAGCAATTTAAATGGAGTCCAAGAGAAATGGGATTATTTAAAAGTTGCACTATTGAAGGCAACAGAAAATTGCATTAGGCTTGTCAGTAAAAGCAAAAAATTCAAGAAACCACTGTGGTACTCCGCAGATGTGGCCCAAATAGTTAAAAACAAAAAGTTAGCATTCAGGAATTATAAAAAAAAAACAGAATGAGGAAGACAAAATGATCTATAAGATTAGTCAGAAAGAGGCTAAGCAAGTTATAAGAGCTTCCAAATCACACACAGAAGAGAAAATAGCACAGTCAGTAAAAAAGGGGGATAAAACATTTTTTAGATACATAAATGAGAAAAGAAAAGTAAAACAAGGATTAGTTAGATTAAAAACAAAAGAAGGAAGGTATATAGAAGAGGATAAAGGTCTAGCTGACTGCCTCAATGAATATTTTTGTTCTGTATTTACAGATGAAAATGAAGGAAAGGGACCTCAGTTGAGAAAAAGGATAAATGAGTCATTTATTACACGTGAGTTTACAGAGGAAGAGGTTCTATTTCAACTGTCAAAAGTAAAGACAAATAAGTCAATGGGACCTGATGGAATACACCCAAAGCTATTAAAAGAGCTTAGTGGTGTACTAGCAAAACCATTAACAGATTTATTTAACCAATCATTGTTAACAGGAGTAGTCCCAGAAGATTGGAAGTTAGCGACTGTTGTGCCCATTTACAAGAAAGGTAATAGGGAGGAGTCGGGCAACTATAGGCCAGTAAGCCTTACTTCAGTAGTGGGGAAAGTGATGGAAACCATGTTAAAGGATAGGATTGATGAACATCTAAAAACACATGAGATCATGCCAAACTAATCTTATTGATTTTTTTGATTGGGTAACTAAAATTATAGATCAGGGTGGTGCAGTAGACATTGCTTACCTAGATTTCAGTAAGGCTTTTGACATTGTTGCACATAGAAGGTTTATTAATAAACTGCAATCTTTAAGTTTGGATTCCAATATTGTTGAATGGGTAAGGCAGTGGCTAAGTGACAGGCAACAGAGGGTTGTAGTCAATGGAGTATATTCGAAGCTTGGGCTTGTCACCAGTGGGGTACCTCAGGGATCTGTACTTGGACCCATTCTCTTTAATATTTGTATTAGTGATATTGCAGAAGGTCTTGATGGTAAGGTATGTCTTTTGCTGATGATACTAAGATATGTAACAGGGTTGATGTTCCAGGAGGGATAAGCCAAATGGCAAATTATTTAGGTAAACTAGAAAAATGGTCAGAGTTGTGGTAACTGACATTTAATGTGGATAAGTGCAAGATAATGCATCTTGGACGTAAAAACCCAAGGGCAGAGTACAGAATATTTGATAGAGTCCTAACCTCAACATCTGAGAAAAGGGATTTAGGGGTGATTATTTCTGATGATAATGTAATAGAGCAGCAGGAAATGCTAGCAGAATGCTTGGTTGTATAGGGAGAGGTATTAGCAATAGAAAGAGGGAAGTGCTCATGCCATTGTACAGAACACTGGTGAGACCTCACTTGGAGTATTGTACACAGTACTGGAGACCGTATCTTCAGAAGGATATTGATACCTTAGAGAGGGTTCAGAGGAGGGCTACTAAACTGGTTCATGGATAAAACTTACCAGGAAAGATTAAAGGATCTTAACATGTATAGCTTGGAGGAAAGACGAGACAGGGGGGATATGATAGAAACATCTAAATATATAAAGGGAATCAACATAGTAAAGGAGGAGACTATATTTAAAAGAAGAAAAACTACCACAACAAGATGACATAGTCTTAAATTAGAGGGACAAAGGTTTAAAAATAATATCAGGAAGTATTACTTAACTGAGAGGGTAGTGAATGCATGGAATAGCCTTCCAGCTGAAGTGGTAGAGGTTAACACAGTAATGGAGTTTAAGCATGCGTGGTATAGGCATAAGGCTATCCTAACTATAAGATAAGGCTAGGGACTAATGAAAGTATTTAGAAAATTGGGCAGACTAGATGGGCCGAATGGTTCTTATCTGCCGTCACATTCTATGTTTCTATGTTTCTATGAGCTGTGTCCTTTGCAGTACTAGGGATTATCAATATCCCCTTGCCCCACCAAAAAATATTAACAATGAAGATAACCTAAAAAGAAGTCTAATATGTGAACATTGACTTGTTAGAAAATGTACATATTTAGTTATCATCATTTGAACTTTGTATCTCCTATTTGTAATCACAATCTTCTCTAGAGTTACTTTTGATGTAACTATCTTTTCACCTTATACTGACAGATCAGGTCAGAGTCATCAACACTTTCAATACGTGGCATCTCGCAGGAGTTTGAGCCTCCTGGGACATCTGCTTTTTAAAATTTTCAGCAGTGTGCCTTAACATAGAGCTACTAAAAGTGCATCCTGTGCAACAGCCTCAAGTTGCACTAGTTTGAGGGGTCTTCTGAGATGCCCTCACAGTAATGGCCTTTGATCCATGGAATGGCTCTCTATCAGTGCACTGGATTTGGCCCCTGAAAAATCAGCTGTTCCCCCATGTAGCTGTCGTCCTGAAAGTAGGTGATTACTTGTTACTAGGGATGTGCATGGGCAAAAAATTTGGTTCGGTCCAGCACTTCCGAATTTCGTGACTTCGGCAATTTGGGACTTCGGCAATTAGGTTTGGCACTTCCGAAATTTGGGACTTTGGCAATTCTGCAGTTCCGAAATTCGTGACTTTGGCAATTAGGGACTTCGGCAATTCCCTACCCCTAAGCCCAACCCTACTCCTAACCCTATCAGAATGTCTGAATTGCTGAAATTCGTTCGAATTTACATTCGGAACAAAACGAATTGCATATGCCTACTCGTTACATCCTGCTCCGACTCCCCTGGCAGGGAAGAGAGAGGAGGTGAGAGAGAGAGCTGTGTTGAGATTAACCCAGAGAGAATAGACAATATAATCACAACACAGAGTGGCTGTGGTTATGTTGCCTAAAATGTCCCTTTAATGAAGTATCAGTGCATGTATGCATTATAGTTTACAATTACTCACGCAAATGAAGGAGGCCTGGGAGCACCAGACATTGTTCTATTCTACCTGGCTGGTTTTCCAAATTTAGGGAGCCTGAGTATTTAAAATACAGACTCCTTGTTCCTACATATATTTTGTACCTCTCACATCCAGGCAACTGCATACACCTGATTTAAAGATCCATATTTGGCTAAGGCACTAAGGCAGGCATTATCAACTTGCGAAGACTGCTCTAGGGCGACTCACTTATAGCCTTTTTAGGCTTCTCAACATCTGCTCCCCTCCAAATAAATTTTTACTTATTTACTGATAAGACATCTTCTCCTATCACACCGGCTCAGTCAACCGGATATGCCCCACCTCATTCTCTTCTATATGTTCTGTGGTCAAGAAATTATTTTTTCTTAGTTTGTTAAAAATTTAAAAAGTGCTTTGAACTGAGTTTTTTGCCTTCTTTTGGATCTATAGCAAATACAAATCTGAGAAAGGCGGAACTTGGTGGATGTATGTCTCTTTTCAGCTATGTTACTCAGCTATGTTAACTCATACCCATTCCTTTGTTTGTACATGTTGAAAATTATTTTCATTCGGTAAAACCATAATACTTTGCTGTTTTTTTTTTGTTTTTTTCTTACATGAGTCTGACTTTACCCTGTAACGTCTTTAGGAAGGTCCATGGTATCCTAGACTACCTGGGCATTAAACACCCTTAGGTGGCATGGGATATCCTGCATTTTAGGAGTGAGCAGGGTATTGCTTGCACTGAAGTGATCCAGGTGTCAATGAAAACCTGCAAATACCCTTTGTCATATTTAATGGCCCTACACTGACTGGTGAGCTGTGTGCAGTGCTCACAGTGAGAGCCATACACAGCCCTTTACATTATCTTGGCTGATTAAACACAGTCAGCCACAGTGATTTTCTTGGAATGTAGGGCTATTCCTTGATTAAATTGCATGTGTGTGTGTGATGCAGAGTGTTTGTGTGTGTGATGCAGAGCCTTGGTGGGGGGTGGGCATTTTTATTAATTTTTTTAAATTATTATTATTATTTTAATATTATTTTTTTATATTATTAATATTTTATTTTATTATTATTAAATTTTTTATTTATTTCGATTTTGTTTTTGTCCCCCCTCCCTGCTTGATACATGGCCAGGGAGAGGGGCTCTCATTCCCTGGTGGTCTGGGCTGTGGCATGGGCTGTGTAGAAGGGGGGCTGGCAGAGAGCTGTAACTTACCTTTTCTGCAGCTCCTGTCAGCTCCCTTCTCTCTCCTCCGTTCCGGTCGGCTCCCCTGTAAGTCTCCCGGTCTGTGTGCCACGCAGAGCTCTGACCCCGCGGCTCTCGCGACACTTACAGTGGAGCTGACAGGGGAGCTGAACGGACCAGAGGAGAGAGAAGGGAGCTGACAGGAGCTGCAGAAAAGGTAACAGCTCTCTGGCAGCCCCCAACAGGACCGCCGGGCTTTTAATGAGCCCGTGGTCCTTGTCTGTATTATGGCAATATAAGTTGCCATAATACAGACAGTGACTCGAGTATAAGACGAGTGGGGGGTTTTCAGCACAAAAAATGTGCTGAAAAACTCGTCTTATACTCGAGTATATACGGTATATATATATATTTTTTTTTTTTTGAGCAATGGGTCTATGCCATGGGCATGGGCCTGGAGCTTCAGCTTCATCAGACACTGTGTTAATCTGGCCCTGGTTAGACATTACCATAACACATTTCACAATGGGACGTAGTAACAAAGAGTTTGCAATATGTGCTCTCTTCTGTTTCCAAACAAATTCAAAAGAATTTATCTATGAAATATCTATGATAAAAGGAAGATGGGAACAACATTGAGATATTTCTGAAAACATATAGAAGCTTGGGTAATATCACTGTGCCGATTGCATCTATTGCATTTATTCTATCGACCCATAAAAGCCAGATATTGCCCATTTAATAGATGGAGTGAAGTGTATAAAAATATATTTAAATATAACTGTTGTAAATGTAAGTATCCCAGTGCCCAAATAATTTATGTAATGCACTTATATGGAAAGTGTTTATGTTTATTTTGTATGCACGTTCTTTTCTTCTTTTATCCTTGGTTCCCAAACCAGTTTTCATGGCCCACCAACAATTCTGGATTTTTTTTTACGGTCTTAATTTTTTAGGTTTTTCAGTGCATAGTAAACAAATACAAGCGTAGTATGGACATTGCAACAAGAGACTGTACGTTAAGAAATGATGCAAGATGTCACATGAAATGTTGGGTATACTGCACTGACTTTTGCAAAAGGAAATTTTAAATAATAGTATGCATGAGTAAACAATAATAAGACAAACATGTTCTGAGTGCATGAGTGAACTGTGAGAAAATAATATAAACAAGTTGTGAGTACATGAGTAGGCAACTACAAGGCAAACCACCCCAGGCAGCTCCAGGAACATAAAGGAAAAGTCCATTTAGTGTTGCATGAGGCAAGAAGCTTCAGAGTGTATCAAGATTAAGCATTGGATATGATGGATGTATTGCATACGTGATCCATTAGCCATGGGTAGCATACAGGCAGTGACTCAGCTGGGCATTTAGCCTATTCCCATCTCAGACAGTTCACAGGCCCATCTATTAGGGTTCGGCTGCAAGCCCAGTGCCACGAGTGTCAAATAGAGTTCCTTCAATTAGAGTGGCCTATCTCTCCTTCCTGCGTCCCTCCACTTACACCTCTTGCTTGGCTGCAGAGTGTTTAGCACCAGTGCTGTGCCACTCACCACATTCTGCTGTCTGCTTCTATTTTGGAAGGCTAAACACTTTACACAGAGTATACTCATTACCCATACACCCTGTTGCACATGCTGTGTACTCACCACTTAAGTAAATAAAAAAAACGAGAAAACATGTTACCGAACAACACATAACACAAATACTTGGCTTTGTTTTGGTTTTGCATTGTAATATATCCTGAGGTCAGTGTGTCGTTTTATCTGTGGATGCTTTTTCTGAGGGAGTAGCTGATAAATCAGGGGAGGTATCTTCCCATAAATCCGTAAACCACCCTAAGAGTTATTCATCTCATAAGATCATACATTGGGTTGCTATAGAACTTGTGTAGAACATGTTATGTAGAACCTAGGTGTTGTTTCAGACTTATGCAACATATGATGGTATACTGTAACTAACATGGTTTTTCATATTCACTAAGGTGAGAATTGTCTGGCTTTAAGTTTGAAAATCACGTGAAATTTGAATTCCAATTCCTAAGTAAACAAACTGGAAAAATTCTCCAAGTCACCTATGCTTCCAGTTCGACTATTTTGCCCTGAAACTTTAAATTCACTTCAAATTCTCGACATTTCTCACTTTAGTGAATAACCCTCTAAATACCCATTATTTTTAGGCAAGTCAGGTGTTTTTAAAATATGTGTGAGGTTTAACGTTAGTTTAAAGTGGAGTGCGCTACATTTTGTGTGTTGTATCTATATACTATATGACTATGAGATACAAATATGCAATATGTTCCTTACTACATCAGCAGAACACAGGACACTGCACGCATATTTACAGTGTGTTCTGCTGAATAAGGAAAGAGTTTACTGATATGTTTGGTCCTAATCTATAGGTTACAATTATATGACAGTTAGCTACTGTTTTTACCTAATACACAGTACATGCAAACCATAAAAATCCTGACCTTTAACTGAAGCTTTTATCATAATCTAGAAGTCTGTGCTCCTTGTTCTCTTTTTATCTCAATCTGTTGAACTTTAATACCATTATCAAATGTCAAGCACAAATGGAAGGAGTTATTCTACAGATCCATAAACTACAAATGAGATAGGACGCAAATCAGTTGTAAACCAGAGAGAAAGAAAAAAAAAAGCACAATAAATGGACTGAGTATAATAGATGAAAAATTAACATGTCTGCAATTTAAATAAGGCAAACAATGCATATTTAGCTTTTGTATGACTAACACTGTATTTTTAAAAACTTTTTTAAAGGGACACTTTAGTCACCAGAACAACTAGAGCTTAATGTAGTTGTTCTGGTGAGTATAATCATTGCCTTCAGGCCTATGGGAAAGCATTGGATTGGCTAAAAATTGGCCATTTTGATTATGTCACAAATGGGGCGGAGCCAGTGCCGGCGTGCCAGGTGAGTTTTAAACTTTTATAGTGGGGATGGGGGGGAGGGGGGAGTGGGAGGGGCAAGCCACCTATATGGTGGGTTTAGCACTATAGGGTCAGGAATACATGTTTGTTTTCCTGACCCTATAGTGATCCTTTAATAAATGAATGATGATTCCTAACTGGAGACAGCATGACCTGATCCTTTAACATATTCATGGAAGCTCATATCCAAATTAAGAGATGGAAAAGAAAAAAGCTTGGAAGGTTTTACCTGATGATCTCCTGCTGCTATCTTGTGGATCAAAGGTCCCCCATTCCCTAAGTTTGGAGTATGGGTTAAACCTCAGTGGAATCGTGTGTGACATTGTCTCAAAGTCTTCCAGACAAGTATTGATTGAACTGCAGGATTGAGGGCTAAATAAAAAAGATGAGATTTAAATGTAAACAGCATATAGAATAAAAAAACAAATAAGCTACATGCCTTTATCCCTGCAGTTGGCACATTTCCTAATAATTGAACACAATTTATATTCTTCACTTTACACTTTGCTTTTTTCTTTACCTATTTTAATAAATTAAAGTGAAAAAGAAATATATATATATAATCGCATAATTTAATGTGCATACTTAAGAATCAAATGTATTTTGTCATAATCTTCTACATGGCAATAAACCTTTGTATGAGTGGCCAATCTTGGAACAGAGGGACAGAGACCTGTGTCTGAGAATCAACATTATAAAACCTTACACTCACAGAAAAAGGAAACAGGGGGGAACCAGAAAAGAGGAGTGTGTGATCCCATAGTTCAGTTGTTCCCTCTCATGGTAGGTGGAAAGATCATGGGAAATGATTCCTGATTATGAATGGATGATTACATAACTTGGATCAGTTTCGGGGCTCTTTTTGTGACAAAAAGTGACCACTAGAAACTTTTCTGTGTTATTCAAAATTGTGTTATTTTTTTATGTAAATTTACATAAATAAGGCATTTATTAATGACAAAGTGGCTATATTTGTTGGTCCTTGTCTAATTGACAGTGAAAAATAGCAATGAATGAGCAGCTTAGTTTGTAATGCCAAGGGTGGACCATCTTGTACCCTGTCTTGTGGCTTTATTGCTTGTGTTTTGCGCTGGTGCGTCATTTTTGGTTTTATCGCTAGCGATTTTTTTTTTTAATATGATTTTTTATTCATTTTGCATGTATTAAGGTTCGATGAGAGGCGCAGGTCTCCATTGCATGGTATGACAAAAGATAACAAGTCGGGCTCACAGGCCCCCATCATAGAAGGACTCGCAGGTCCCCATTTTATGTTGTTACGCTTGTTCGGGAATATAAGTTAAGTTAAGTTTTTATAAACTGGGTGAACAATATGCAAGGTAACCGTCCTTGAACTAGGTTAATCAGTCCTTGATTAGGTGTCAGTGTTTGTGGAGTGAGCTCCGTTCTCTGTGTCGTTTGTACACGTAGGAACTGTAGTGTATGCGTTGTGTCCCTTCTATTGTGTTCGAGTTCCGTCTATGTGTCGGCGTTCCTCTGCTATCTTGTCTGGTCACACAGCGTATCAGGGGCTCATTCTTCGTGGGAGCCTGGGAACGTAGGCTTTCTCTATGGTCTCTGTCGTCGGGCATCTCATAGAGCCCTGTGTCTCTAGCCGTGCGGTTTTGTCCGTGTTGGGCTTGTGTGTTACTAACAGTATTTCCCGTGTTTAACCAGGGATATGGTGATATTGCAGGCAGGAGGTACCCTTTTGTTGGGTGTGTGGTTACGGCATCAGCCGTGTCGTTGCCGGGCCTGTTCAGGATTTTCACAGTTGTTCGTGTGTTTTGGCTTTGGGGTGTCATCCCGGACTGGTCTGGAAGTGTGTACCAGTTTGTGTATGTTGTCGTTCCTGATTATGGTATCCCTTGTTGTTGTGGGTACGGTGGGGATGATCCAAGCAATGATAATGCTCGGGTGGTTCTAGGGGGGGGGAATGCGTCGGGGTGGGAAGAAAGGGGGGTGGTTCCGTTCAGTACGTCTGTCGGCCGTCTAGCGTCGTCTGAGGTGTGTGTTCTGAGTTCTATCTGTCTGTGTCATGGTGTCCGTCAGTGTTAGGTCTGAGTTCTAATTGGAATTCTTCTTTTGCCGTCTCTAGAATCCAGTGCGTCCAAATGCTCATGTAGGTAGTGGGTGTAGTATTGGCCGTCATGGTCAATTCCTCTATTGTCCTGAGTTCCTCCATTTGGCTAAACCAGGTCGAAAGTGGGGGTGTCACTGTTTGTTTCCAGAATTGGGGGAGCACTCGTTTAGCCACGTTAAGTATTCTAATAGTCATGGATTTTTTGTATCTAGAGCGGGGAACTGTTGTGTGGTGTAGGAGCATCGCTGCCGGTTCTGGGGGGGGGCACATCCGTGAATTTCTCTAGCATTTTGTGTATCCTCTTCCAGTACGGTTGGATCAATGCGCAATCCCACCAAATGTGTTTTGTGGTGCCTACCTCTCGTTCACATCTCCAGCAGAGTCTGGAGTGGTCTGGGTTTACGTGGTGAAGGAGGTGTGGTGTCCTATACCAATGTGTTAGAAACTTGTAGGCCATTTCCTGTGTTTTGCTGTGAGTGGAACAGTGGTGTGTAAGGTAGCAGATGGATTCCCATTCTGCTTCTGTAAGCGTGTTACCCAGGGCGGCCTCCCATTTTCCCATGAAGAGGGGTGTCTCGGACGGGGTTTCTGATTGGAGCATGGAGTATAGGAAGGACACTCCGTGTGGGAGCGGGTCTGGGTGTGAGCTGACCACTTCTATTGTGGTCCGGTCTCTGGCGAGTGCTGGTCCCTGTGGCAGGGAGTGGACATAGTTGGTCAGTTGGGCATGTCGAAAGTGGTGCATAAAGGTCGGGGGCGTCTCTCCCATTATGTCCGTTAGCGTTTTGCTTTTCCCTCCTTGGAGGAGGTGGTGTAGGCGTGGGGATCTGTCCGGGAGGATGTGTTTGAGGGCTCTTGGGTCTAAACCCGGAGGAAAGTCCTCGTTGTGTGTCAGAGGTAGGAGGGGGAGGGGTACGGTGCCATATTCCCCTTCTTCACAGCCCTCCCCCACACTCTCATGGTGTGTCTCGTGTATATGGACATGTCGCCCCTATCGGTTGTGTCTCGGCCCCAGGGAAGGCCCGAGATCGGTCTGCCTGCTTCTGCCTCTTCCACCGTCTTCCATAGTTTGTGTACTCCGTCCTTAGACCATTCCATGATTCTCTGTAGGTGTGTGGCTACGTAGTACTGGTGGAAGTCTGGGAGGGCTAGTCCCCCTTTGTCTTTAGGATGTGTCAGTGTGGAAAATTTCACTCTGGCCCTCCACCCGTTCCATACGTATTTTATCATTTCTCTTCTGAGTGTGTTGAAGAAGGGGCCCGGTATGACGATGGGAATGGCCTAGAAGAGGTATAAAAGGCGCGGAAGAAAGTTCATTTTTATGACCTGCACTCTCCCGAGCCACGATATGTGCGGGTAGGACCATTCCCTCAAGTCTCTTTGGAACGTGTGCAGTATATCGGCGAAGTTGTCCCTATACAGGTCTCTGCTCTGCCTAGTCAGCCATATTTCTAAGTACCTAATTTTATATTCAGCCCATTGGAAGGGGAAACTGCGTCGTAGAGGGTCTGCACGTGTGGCGGGGACGCTAACATTAAGGATGTAGGATTTACCGTAGTTAATTTTTAGGCTAGATATGTCGCCAAATGTCCGCAGGTCTTTCTGGATGTTTGGAAGGGTGATTTCGGGGTTGGTCACCACAAAAAGTAGGTCGTCCGCGTACGCCGCTACCTTGTGGTGTGCTTGGCCTGTCGTCAGGCCTGTTATGTCTGGGTTGTGTCGAATGTGTGTAAGGAATGGTTCCAGGGCGAGAGCGAACAGAAGCGGGGATAGAGGGCACCCCTGTCGCGTGCCGTTATGTATGGTAAAAGTCTCAGTCAGCGCCCCGTTAACTAGCACCTGGGCCGTCAGTTCTCGGTATATCGCTAGCGATTTTGATAATGTGTTTTTATGTGGCAGCATCAGCATTGCAAGTGGGCCTGTCACACTGTTACCGATGCAAATCCATCCACGTCATTAGCAGCTGCATGTTGAAGGGTTGAGGCTATTGTAAAGCACTGAAGTATGACCCTTTTCTTGTGCCTCCAAGAAGGGCAATTTGCAAAGCACAAATTGTGCTGCAAGGAAATTAATAAAGGGTGGAATGGTGGGTCATCTTAGTAGTGCCAGACTGCCAGTATGAACCTATATTTAGAAAGACACCACAATGCTGTATTACGGAAGAAACAAAAAAAAAAGTACTAGGCCTGGGAGCAAGTCCATTGGAGAACAATGATATGGGATATAGTAACATCCACAAAGTTCCAACCATTGCTTGTTCCAAAAGCAGGCCCATTGGTGCTGTATGTGATTATGCGTAGTTGTCACCACTTACCACCAGCGGTATCTCCTCCACTTTTACTACCCTAAGGAAGAGCAGGAAGGATGGTGAGGATAGTGCCAGTAGTGGGCAGTAGCAGGTTGAATACTCCTCTTCATCTGGTAAATTAATAGTAATAAAAAAGTTCCTCTTAATTAAATACTGCCTGTGTCACTTACACCCACTTGGATTCAGTATAAGAGACAGGTTATTTGTTTTGCAGTGTGTTTCAGTGCCATTGCTTGTGCTTTGCAAATTGCAAGCTCCTTCCCTCTGTAATATACTGTGTGTGGCAGTGTACTTTATAAATGAACCCTGTGGCCAGGCCTGGGTTTGCCATAAGGTCACAAAGGCCATGGCCTCGGGGCAGCAAACAGTATAGGTTCTGCCTCTATTAGATGACATTTCATGATGCAACTTTTTTTCTCCATTTCTTTTAGTCTGATGCCGATCAATTTGACCTGCAACATGTTGATCAGCGGGGCCCCATAATTACCGTCTATGACAGAGGAAACACCTATGGTGCAAGACAGACATCACTAGCAACAGTGATGGTGGCCCGCTCCCAGTGTTCACTGCTGCATCTTGCCTGCTCAGCATTCTGTGTGTGAAGCAGAGGTGCAGAGAGAGGGGAAGTAACATCACATTCCCCACTCTCTCCTCACACATAGCACATAGCAACCAAGCAGTGAGGAATGGTAGGTATGCTGAACAAGGGTACATGTGAGACACAGGGGTGTGAGGATAAGCGCAGATGGTATATTAAAGCTGTGAATGTGAGTGTATGTGTCCAGATGTGTGTGTGTGTGTGCGCATGCGTGCGTGCGTGCGTGTGTGTGTGTACACCTATGAGTGATGTATGTCTTTGAGCAGGGCCGCCGAGATAGACCCAGTAAGGAATTTTAAAACTGGCCAAATGGGCAGTAACAGTAAAATTAAGGATGGGGATCAGGATGACAGACAGGCACCAGCTCATAAATAATAATAATAATTTGCAATTTTTATAGCGCTTTTCTCCCTGTGAGACTCAAAGCACTTTACAAATATACAAACATAAAGACATAAAAGTTAGGCGTTTCTAATGGTCAGATTAGCGGACTGAATGCCTGATGGAAGTGCTGAATTACCTCCTGGCTGGCGTCTGGCTGCACTGGATTCCTATCCCATGAGGTAGCTCGCTGGCGCAGAGTCTGTGCGCTCATCCTCCTCCCCTGTGTGTGGTGAAATGGAAGGGAGAGATTAAGGAAGGAAGTGGGGCAGGGTGTCAGAGAGTGTACAAGTAGGCCTTTCACTGAGTGCACTTCTCTCTCGCTCCCACCCCATGCACTGTACTTGGGGACAAGGGGTGGTAGCATAGCAGTGCGTGATGCTATTTCTAAACTAGTATTGTAGAAACCAGTAAACCTTTTTTCACATATCCTCTGAGATGTATCATAATACATAAAGAGACAACTGATATTTGAAATCAAGGTAAGTGTGACATGGGTCAGTGTGTGTATGTGTCAGCCTGCAAAGGTCAGTGTGCGTGTGACTGCATGGATCAGTGCATGTGTATCTGTATGGGTTTGTGTGTGTGTGTCAGTCTGCATGATTAGTATGTGTGTGTCTGCATGGAACAGTTTGTGTGTGTGTTAGTCTGCATGGTTCAACGTTTGTGTGTGTGTGTGTCAGTCTGCATGGATCAATGTGTGTGTGTCAGTTTGCATAGGTCAGTGAATTTGTGTGTGCATGGGTTTGTGAGTCTGTATGTATGTATGTATGTGCCAGTGATTGCATTTGTGCCCTAAGGACAATTTTAATCTCAAAATATCACCAACAAAAAAGCAATACTTTTAAACAAACACTATAGTGTTTGGAATATAAACCTGTATTCCAAACGATGATTTAAAAGATAAATAAAATGTAAAAGAAAAGTGAATGGGCCGGCAAAATCTTTTTTGCCTAGGGCGGCAAAAATCCTTGCACCGGCCCTGACTGTGAGTGCGAGTTGTATATCGGAATGTGTATGTCTGTCACTTTAAATATATGTGTGCATTGTGAGTCTTTTTCTATGTTTCCTTGAGTGTGTATCTGAGAGTCTGTACGAACTATTTAATTTGAAGGAATATCCCCCTCCATAGGTGTTCTTTTGGAGGTGACCACAGGAAAGCATCGATTTGAGGAGAGTCTCTAGAAGCAGTTTGGGCAGTAAGTATGGCAGTTAGCATGTTAATCTCCCATGTTAAGATTAGTATAGGACCCACTGATATTAGGTATTAGATATCATGGTGTAAATGAATCCCGATATTTGTTTGCTAAAATAGGTGATTCTGAGTGTCCTTATAAAATGTAGAACTGCATTTTTTGTGTGCGCTGATCCTTAATCTGGACAGGGGAAATCAAGTAAAGATTAACATGGGGGAATTATTAGATTCATTAAGAATCTCATATTGTTAAAACTCAGTATAAAATATGGATTTCTCTGTCAAGAGAAAATCTTGTGTTTACACAAATCTTAACATTTCTCAGAGAGGTTATTATCCATATTTACAAAGCTAAGAACTGGAAAAGGAATGTACTATACTTACCAGAAACCTTTTGCAGATTCAGCGTTCTAAGAAAACACCTGTGATTTTTCCTTCTCGGTTTAAACAGGAAAGACAACTAAAGTGAGGCCCTGCCCTCAATTCAAAAGTCTTTTTCAGGTATTTCATTGTGTCAACAAATGAATAAAGACACACTTGTCCCAAGAAAATACATGTATTTATTTGTTAAAATTTTTGTATTCGTTTCAAATTCTTTATTTAATTGCAGTCATAAACATATCCATTGTTTCAGTGACTGCAGGTTTAACAACATGTTAAACAACAATATAATAAATATAAATCTATAAAAACATAACATACAAAATGCACTACTCAATCAAGTGTATCCCCTAAATTATTATATATAATTAAAACAGATGAAACAAACAGGTTGTATATGCCTAAATAAAATGCCCTCTGCTGTCTTTGCATCATTTGTGAGATTGTTAAAAATAAATCTTTTTATGCTGGTGTTATTCACATATATCTCAACTTGATATGCTATTTTAAGGAGATATTGTTGCTGTTATCTAACTTTCAGTGTTTTATAGCTGTTGCTTGCTGACCAATTACCGTAACTGGGAACCTTGATAAATCACGTTTTTAATTGTATCTGAATTATATAAAATCAAGCAACAAAAACTAAAACCAAAATGTAAAAGAAAGTAACAAGTGTAGGCGTCACCAAGAAAATGCATTTAAATTATGCATAAGGGAGTGAGGTATCATGTGTCCTTGGAAGGTTTCTTATATTGCGTTTTGGGAGTTTTATAATTGTAATGTCTAAGTCAGACTTGTTTTTCTGCATTCCTATAGTCTGTATATATGTGTATGTTCTCTCCAAGGTGCATATGCAGATATTAACCCCTAAATAATGTGTGTGACATCTCATTATTATTATTATTATTAATAAAAGGCTAACAAATTCTTTGTGCTGTACAATGGGTGGACTAACAGACAAGTACTGTATTTGTAAGAAGACAGAGGGCTCTGCTGAAATGAATGCAATCTGTGTTGTTTGGGAGCAGGGAAATGTACGTCAGTACTCACATCTACATTTCCAGCCACCGTCTTTGTTGTTCTTTTATTGTACCAAGAACATTGCAGTTGGTAAGATACAAATAAATAATATGCCAAGTAATTTAAATTTGGTTAGCACAATGCATAGATGAAATTAGTAGCACAGCAAAAATAGTTTTATTTACAGTAAAATGCTTTTTCTCTAGTGTATGTGGTAGTATAAACTAGTGGGTAGTTGACCGTACTTATGTACAGCTAATAACAATTTTGCTCTTAAATTGTTATTTATGATTATGTTATATGTCTCCTATCTAGGGCAACCATACTTCGCACTCTCCAGAATAGTTATCAAGCTCCAAGTGTACACAGACAAGAGGAACGAAAATGGTACTGCTGCTTTCACAATTAAAAAAGCTATTTGTTTACGATAATACAAAAAAAATGGTTTTCCAGACGTGAAGTGGCAATACCAAGCAGTAGAAAATCTTGGGATGGACCTGGTTAAGTCTTTGTAAGTGCTTGAAAAACATTTTGCCTCGAAAATGGCATCCTCAGAGGCTAGGATTTCTAACCAGTTATGTTTACTGGATGTGAGTAGAGAAGACCATGTTGTAGCTTTGCAGATTTAACCACAACTTTTGATAGTTACAGAGTGGATGGGTCTCAATAAATCATGGAGGCAGGGCTGGACTAGTGATAAAAAGCAGCCCTGTAGTGTGAATGTGGTTATTTATATATAGATAGATAGATAGATACAAATATGCTCAACTTGGACTTGAGGAAGTAATGAAGACATTTTGGAAATGTTCTGCTTTTGGAACGTGGAGGTAAGTACATTTTAAATGGATGGTAATCGTAACATATTTCTGCAAACCGTCGACAAGATGGATTTCATTGAAAACTTATTTGGGGTTACAAAATGATTTACTTATGTTCAAATATGAAGCAGATGGAAGGACCATATTGAAAAGATTGTGAAATGAGTTTTAATGCATGTTTTGTAAAAAGGAATTGTTTCTGTGAAACCTGGAGGGAAAACAAAAGAAAATTCTGTTTGGTATTATCGTTCTATACTGTAGATGGCCCAGGAATCTGAACTGGTTCTTTTCGCTCTATCCAATAAGTATACTAGCCTGTTGCCCACTGGAATTTTGCATCAGCATCATTTTTACAATTTCCTTGATACTCTTACTCTTTGAGAAGCTCATTGAGCACACTTCCGTGCAAATACCTGCCAAAGCCTACACCAAGATCTGGACATCACTAGTATGAGCTAGGTACTTATAAAAGAAAACCGAAACGGCAGAGATCTGATCCTTTAAAGTACAGGTAAATGTTGCTTTTTCAAGAATGATTTGGAGACATTCCAGCAGTCTGGGTACAGAAAGGACTGCCACAGAAATTTGTGAGAAGTTACACCAAACCAAGTTTGCTTGTCAAAATGTATGGTAGAGGTGTCAGAGAAACCCACGCATCTCAGAACTTGGTATTCAAGTTCAATGCTGTCAAAGGCAGGAAACTCAAAGGCCAAAATAACTACTCTATCGCTCATGTAGCAAGAAGTAGCCATTATAAGATAGTGACAGTCCTTCAGTCAAATTGTATATATTCTCTCTGTAATTGAACAAGTGATCAATAACTTGTCTGTGACCTGAACGAGGACTAACCAAAGGGCAAGCTACTGTGCTTATGCCCATTTGAATGTTCTCATATTCTTTGCTTGTGTGTGCTTCAATACATTTGTTTAAGGTTTCCCTAAGCTAAAATGTTAATACAGATGTTGGACCCTGTGCTTATTTCGTGTTTGCCTCTACGAAAAATTTAGATGTTTCCTTCGTTGCCAGAGTACTGTTGCTATTTTATTTCTCTGAAGCGTGTGATCTGTGTTATACTTTGTGTGCTTTGGATTATTTTAGTGCCCTAATAAGGGATTATTTTAATATATGGATACAAGACGTATTTTATCTGGGAGTTCCTGCTTTTCTACTATATTGATTACTGTTGCGAGATGGACATTTGTCCTATAGATTTGTACAAATGTTAATACTAGGATTAACCTATGGTTCTTGCAGCTGGATTTAAACCCCATAATAATTTGCTTACACAACTATTGAAGAAATCAGCATTCATTATAATTAATGCAGTACTCACACAAATGAGCCTCTAGTAAGCAGGTGTGGGTCAGCAGGTAAAGAAGGTGAATGACAGCTGTCCATCTGATGGGAACACAGTAACTGTTAACTATTTGTTAAAGAAACAAAGGTTTCATGGGAGGTCGCAGGCATCCAGAAAAATAAGAATAATAAGAGAATACCTACAGACAATTTAGATTTAGGAAACTAAAAACTGTTTAGGTCATTTAAAGATTTCCGGGTGCTGGTGAAATAATTTGAGACACTTGATCAGGGTGCTTTTATTTGTATGCATATTTTGGTATAATTTACAAATGAGATTGATACAATTAAAGAGACCGGGGGTTTTAAATATTTTGATGTCAAAATGGTGGAGATATCGGAAAGGAAACAGCATACAGTTATAACAGATAAGATGAACTATTGTAGTATCTTTGTTTACGTAAGGCAAACAGGACGTACAGGAAACAATCTGCAACAATATCGGGTACCAAGGAAATCAATCTTGAGGGGAAAAAGGGATTAAAGATCAACAAAGGGAAGGAAATAGTTGACTCTATAGATTACAGCATTAGCGACACCAAGTTTTTTTAATGTGTTCCTGGAGAGACTGTAGCAGCGGACACTGCCATGATTGTTGGACGCACTGATGACAACACAATTCTTTTCGCAGTACCAATACCTGGAATACGAAACGCAAATAGGAGAAAATAGGAGGCACAAAATGGGGAAAACTGATACCAAGACCAAAATAAAAACATGCTCATCATCATCGACTTCCACTGGGTCCACACATCTGTACTTTTATTAGAATGCACATATGCAAATCCCTGTTCCCATAAACACTGAGACAAAAACCATATTGTCATACACAGTTACATACTTCTATACACACAGACACGTAAACATCTATACACTCCCATTCACAAACAGGGTGATTTCCTAAAGTGTAACTACAAATTTTAGACAAAAAGAGCTGATCAGGAAGCATAGCATTACCAAATCAGTTAATTATGGGCATAAAGGAAATAAACAGAAGTTAGCATTTTTATCAGTGGGGCAGACATACCTATTGGCTGTCATTTGGACAGTCAGGGAGTTTTTTTTCTGCTTTTGTAGCACGTCTCCTCATCTTATTAATATGCTGTATTACAGCTCATTGTGAAGCTTAGGAAAGCAGCTATTGCTTGCGTGTGCAAGCATGCCCGCAGCTCCAGCACAGTGGTTCTCAATGAGAAGCCTCTGATTAGTGTACTCCCAGCATAGACTGGAAGTGCTGGGGAAACGGGAGGTCTTACAGAGGCTTCTGACAAATTATCTGCTGTTTTTAGATATACTTCCACAGAAAAATGCATAAATAAATAAATAAATGTGTGACAGACCACTTGGCACCCTGACTGGGTACCTCTGCCAATCGATTCTTCCTAGCTGACGCGGAGGACCATAAGCACCGTAGAACCCACGTACCGCTGCAGCTTGGTTGGGGGTCTCGCTGTCCCTTCCCACCCTGGACCAAACTCCTGAATCCAGGGACTCAGTGGGAAGGCCTCTCCTCCAAGAGAGTATAGCTGCCATCAGAAATTTTGGGGCCCCTGACACAGCTCAAGGTCTGGGCCCCCCGGTGCCCGCACCCGAGTCCGCCCAAAGTGCTGACCCCCCCAGTGCGCCCACAGGAATGCAGTGTCTGCAGGGCCGGTGCAAGGATTTTTGCCGCCCTAGGCAAAAGTAAAGTTTGTCGCCCCCCCATGTGACATCACAATGCCCCACCCATATGATCTGCCATGTTAACTAACACCAGTGCTGCAGTGCCGCCGTGTTTGCATTAAACGGCCTGCAGGGACAGGCTAGACACCAGAACCACTACATTAAGCTGTAGTGGTTCTGGGGACTATAGTGTCCCTTTAATGTGAGGTAAATTAGAGATTAGTGCCACAAATAATATACTAGATTGCCTACTTACAACCAGATGAGGATGATGATGGGCTCTAGCTGCAGTCTGGCTCCACTGGTCTGGTGTAGAACAGGCTCTCTGGAGGCGTTTTGTAACTGTGGTCACAAAAATCAATGTTCTGGGATCAACGGGAAGCAGCTCCATTTTTTTGAGGGCCCTTTACACAGCTCAAGGTCTGGGTCCCAGGGTCCACCTTCATGTTCCACCAATGAGTTTGTTCACAGGGGGTGGAGTGTGTGTGGGGGATGTCCTGATGTGTGTAAGGAATGCATTGTGTGAATCTGTGTTTGTATGTGTAAGGGCTGCAAGGTGAGTTTGTGTATGTATGGGATGCAGTGTGTGCGTCTGTAAGGGATGCATTGAGTGTGTGTAAGGGGTGCATTGTGTGTGAGGTGGAGTGTGTGTGGGGGGGATGTCCTGATGTGTGTAAGGAATGCATTGTGTGAATCTGTGTTTGTATGTGTAAGGGCTGCAAGGTGAGTTTGTGTATGTATGGGATGCAGTGTGTGCGTCTGTAAGGGATGCATTGAGTGTGTGTAAGGGGTGCATTGTGTGTGGGGGGGATGTCCTGATGTGTGTAAGGAATGCATTGTGTGAATCTCTGTTTGTATGTGTAAGGGCTGCAAGGTGAGTTTGTGTATGTATGGGGCACAGTGTGTTGCATCTGTAGGGGATGCATTGAGTGTGTGTAAGTGGTGCATTGTGTGTGATGGATGTCAATCTCTCCCCCCCGTCAATTTCCTTCTCCTTCTCCCCCCTCCAATTTCCTTCTTCTCCCCCTCCCTCCCTCCAATTTCCTTATTCTCCCCCCTCTCCAACTTCCTTCTCCCCCCTCAAATTTCCTTCCTCCCACTCCCCCAAATTTCCTTCCCCTCCCTCCCTCAAATTTCCTTCCTCCCCCTCAAATTTCCTTCCTCTCCCCCCTCAAATTTCCTTCCTCTCCACCCCTCCCTTAAATTTCTTTCCTCCCCCCTCCCTTAAATTTCCTTCCTCCCCCTCCCTCCAAATTTTCCCTCCCCCTTCACTCCCTCCCATAAACTCTTTATCCCTCCCTCCAAATTCCTTTCCCTCCCCCTCCCATACCCTTCATCCCTCCCTCCCTCCAATTTTCTCCCTCCCTCCCTCAAACCTCTTTCCCATCCCTCCCTCCAATTCTTTCCTCCCTCCTCCTATAATAAATTTCCTTCCCTCCTCCCTTAAATTTCCTCCTCCCTAAATTTCCTCCCCTCCAATCCCTCTCCTTAAATACCTCTCCCGCGAGGCGAGGGCACTCTCCTCTGCTGCTTCCTCTTCAGCCCCCTCGCGCGCCGCGTACTGATGCCGGAGCCGGAAGATGACGTCATCTTCCGGCTCCGGCTTCAGTACGGTGCGCGAGGGAGCCGAAGAGGCAGCAGCAGAGGAGAGTGCTCCCTCGCGCGCCGGCCGGCTTTCAGGGCCAGCCTCTGGGGGGCCCTGAGGTGACCGGCTGCTGGGCCCCCCAGGAGAAGAGGCTGGCCCTGTGGGTACATACCGCGGTCGCAGGGCCCCCTGCGACCCGGTATGTACCCACTTAATGTGGGGCCCGGCCGCCCTGAGCAGTCCGGGCCCCCCAGGACCGCCGGGCCCATGACAACCGTTACGGTTGTCATGCCCTGATGGCGGCCCTGGCTGTGAAGCTCTTATAAGAGCTAGTGTTGTAGCTGTATAGCGGTTCCCTACAATCACGAGATGAGGCTGTGTTGAGGGTTAAGCAGGAATGGTTTACACCCTGTTCCAAATTATTATGCAAATTATATTTTTCTCATTTACCTAAATAATTGATGTAAATAACAGTCAGCATAATTCTCATGTTATCAACCATTAAGAGTACAATTAAAATGTTATTGAACAAACCTAATGATAACTGTATTTTTTTTAAACATAAAAAGCTTACAATGCACTGTTCCAACTTATTACGCACAGTAAGTTTCAAAACACTTTATAGGTTGTAAAGAACTGAAAATTGTAATTTGTTGTGTTTGCAGCATATTTACTGAAATCAAAAGCTATTTCAATCAAACTTATAACAACATTTTAACTTTTTAAGCATTTTAACAGGTCACCTTAAATTTTAACATAGGACCCCTTTTTTGATAGCAGCTTCACAAGTCTTGCATCCAGTGAACTTGTGAGTTTTTGGACAGTTTCTGCTTGAATTTGTTTGCAAGATGTCAGAATAGCCTCCCAGAGCTGCTGTTTGGATGTAAACTGCCTCCCACCTTCATAGATCTTTTGCTGGAGGATGCTCAAAATGTTCTCAATAGGATTGAGGTCAGGGGAGGATGGAGGCCACACCTTTTATCCTTTTATCCCCATAGCAGCCATTGATGCAAAGGTATTCTTTGCAGCATGATATGGTGCATTGTCATGCATGAAGATGATATTATTACGGAAAGCATTGTTCTTCATTCTGTACCAGGGAAGAAAGAGGTCAGTCAGAAACACCACATACTTTGCAGAGGTCATCTTTACACCTTCGGGGACCCTAAAGGGGTTGACCAGCTCTCTTCCCATGATTCCGGTCCAAAACATGACTCCACCACTGCCTTGCTGACGTCGCAGCCTTGTTGGAACAGGGTGGCCGTCCACCAACCATCCACTACTCCATCCATCTGGACCTCTAGGGTTGCACCACACTCATCAGTGAACAGGACTGTTTGAAAATTAGTCTTCATGTATTTTTATGCCAAATGCAGCCGTTTCTGCTTGTGAGCATTGGTTAGTGGTGGCCGAATAGAAGGTTTATGCACAGTTGCAAAACTCTGGAGGACTCTACACCTTGATGTCCGTGGGACTCCAGAGGCACCAGCAGCTTCAAATATCTGTTTGCTGCTATGTAATGGTATTTTAGCAGCTGCGCTCTTGATCCGATACATGGATCTGGCAGAAATCTTCCTCAATGTGCCTTTATCTGCACGAACCCGTCTGTGTTCTCAATCAGCCACAAATCTCTTAATAGTGTGATGATCACGCTTAAGTTTTCGTGAAATATCTAATGTTTTCATACCTCGTCCAAGGCATTGAACTATTTCACTTTTTTTGGCAGCCAAAAGATCCTTTTTCTTCCCCATATTGCATGAAAATGGTGCTCTGCTTAATAATGTAGAACACCCTGCTTTAGTAGTTTTTCCTTAAATTGGGGTCACCTGGCAATCTAATTATCACAGGTGTCCGAGATTGTTTTTAGTGACCAAAAGAGCCCTGAGACACAATGCCATCCATGAGTTAAACTGAAAAACAAAATATTTAATCTTTGTGACGCAAATAGAATTTGCATAATAATTTGGAACAGGGTGTAATGGTAGCCACACTGGCTTTTTATGCAAGTCCCCAAGCAAGGGGTACACCCACATGGACCTTGTTGGGGACAGTGACACAAACTTGTAAACCAATAATAACAGAGTTAAAATGTAAGGCACCCCCACACGGCATACAATTCCTCCCCTCTGCCTGGGAGATAATTGAGTCAGATACTGTATTAACCCAATTATCTCCAGGCAGAAATCTTTTTTTTTTTTTTACAAAAACCCAAAAGTACCCCCAAAACACTTGATATCCCCACAAGTGTTATATCCCCTGACAGCCCTGAACTGGGTGACCAACATATCCAAAAATCACCTAGATCAGATTCTTACTGAATGCCATTCGACTCCTGTTCGAATAGCCGAACCTCCATGGAAGGGAAGAGTTTAGCAGTGTTCATGCCATCGCGTGTCTGATTTGAGTTCCATGAACTCGACTACCAAACACTGCTCATTGTACTCGCGGCTTAAGATGACCGCGGCCGGTCGAATGGCACTTTGAATGGCTTCGGGAGTTCGGAGTACCGCTTTGAAAGTTTGAATGGTTCCTGTTATAAGTCCCAACAGGCACAAATGGTGTTTTCAAACAGGGTTTAACACAGTGCCATAGTCACAGGGTAGGAGGCTGACAACTATGCACCTCCATGGACCTGTGACAAAGTCCAGTTCGTCACATTAAGTACATCTATAAAACAGTGTTTTTTGTTGGAGTTGGAGTGTTCCTTTAAATATGAAATTTACTTAATTCCTGACAATTCCCCTTTATTAAATTACCCTGAACCTGAAGAAGCAGATCCTGGTCCACTGTCTTAGGCCAGTGCGTTTGGTTCCCTACTCATGTGCTGAGGAGGATGCAACATTTCATAAAAGTACATTTACAAAAATAAGTTCATGTTTAAAGAAAAACTTGAGATATTTTTTTTTTCTAGAGGACCTGGGCTTCAAAGGATGTGAAATTTGCCCAATGCACTTTGAATTCCAGACAATTCTCATTTTAGAAGAAAAAACTAAAATCAAACATACATACTTCAAATCTGAATTCATATAATTAGTACGTGCTATTATCTATGTTACTTAGCACCTTAGTAGGGATCTCAAAGTACCTATCGTGTGCCCAAATATATATGGGTTATGGGCAGGTGTCCAGTGCCTTTGGAGATTTGAAACCTTTTGTAATTTTTATTTACAGTTTAAATTGGATTATGGGAGCTCACAGATTTTTTTTCTTTGGTGTGACTTTAAATTAATTTTAGATTCCTATCGATGCCCTGAAACTCACAGTTATATGGTCATAGCAATCATCCCTTTCATCTTAAAGGTTGCCTGTCATGGTACCTATACCTTGAGCTCTTTTGAAAGTAAAATGTAATCTATACATTGTGCTAGAAAAACATCCATTTAAAAAAAAAAAAAAAAGAATTGACTAACAAAGGGCGTTAAAAGAGACCAGGAAGTCCTTTTGCTCTCCACACAGAGCAACCACAGATATTTTTGATGCAATGATATCCAGTTGGAATGTTTGTAAATGCCCTCAATATTAAGAAGGGGGGAGAAAAAAATGAGCCATCCTTGAAACAGAACTTTAGGAAATGGAGATCAAAATAAATCAAAAAGATGAATGTCAATAAGGATATGTCAATTTGTTTTATAGCACCCCTTAAGTAAAAAGTTTAATGAAGAGTAAAGCTTTTAAAAATGACCCGATATGGTGACAAGAATCTGTTGATTATAGTGTTAATGTAGGCACTCATATAGAAGCCAAATACAATCTAAGCAGCCTCTTAAGAAGAATGAAAGATTGATGCAAAGTTTTAGTCAAACATGGCTCCCTCACAAAGATAGCTGTAGGTGCAGATTCCATTCGTGCAAACTTTTTTTTTTTTTTTATTCAAGGGACACTCCAGGCACCCAGACCACTTCTGCCAATTGGAGTGGTCTGGGTGCCAACTCCCACCACCCTTAACCCTGCAAGTGTAATTATTGCAGTTTTATAAACTGCAAGTATAACCTTGCAGGGTTAAGTCCTCCTCTAGTGGCTGTCTAACAGACAGCCACTAGAAAGACTTCCGTGTTCTTAGAACACGAAAAGTGTTTTAAACGAAGCTGGATGTCCTCATACTATGCATGAGGGCCTCCAGCCTAGCCGGAATCCCCATAGTAAAGCATTAGGTCTCCCCCGCCGGCGAGTGAAGAGCATGGGCGGAGCCTGACCCAGCGCCGTGGGATCTGGATTCAGGTAAGTCAGTGAAGGTGTTTTAACCCCTTCAGCAACATGGGATGGGGGTGGGAGGGAGGGTCTTGCAGTGCCAGGAAAACTGATATGTTTTCCTGGCACTGGAGAGTCCCTTTAAGTGTAAGTATTAAGATGTATATTTATTGTGAAAATATTTGTTTGCTTACTTTTGTGTAGCGTAATACTCAGTGTGTAGGTAAAACTGAGTGTAAATGAAAAGAGAGAGAGAGTAGGCATTTTATTAATATCCTCAATAGGAATTTATCTTCTTTCAAGCTTCAGTATCGGTGACCTATTCCCCATTCCGTCCAGGAGGAAGAGGTTATGAGGATCAGGTTTCCCTTGGGATTAAAGTGGAGTGGGATATCACATACCTGTATTAACTTGTCTATGTATAGATCATTTATTATTTCATTTTATACACTGCCAGGGATATTATATAAGACCCTAGTTTGCTCCAAGTGCTTAGATTAATGTGTAGTACCATAGTGTTGATATTAAATGTAAGATTTCTAAATAAAATATAGAGCAGTAAGCCATTTATCATAATGTTTTTATGGGATTTATAGTTTCCTGCTGCGTTGTGATGCTCCTCCTTTCACAGCCTCTTATTACATTAAATGTATTATATGAGGGCTCTGTCTTCATGGAAGGGTTCCAGCATACATATATTTAACTTATTTTCTTCCTAGGGGCAGGAGCAGTAAATGTTAGCTTAGCTCCACCTGTGTGCGTAGGTTGGGCTCCTTTTTGCAGTTCTCACATTTATATCTGGTGTTTGCCTCTCTGGGATCAGTCTTGATAAAGTTTAACATTGTTCTGATTGCTGCTAGAGAACTGTATATCTGTAAGTTGCTTAGGTATTCTGCTCCAAGTTGTATGTTTTAAGCTATTTTATTGCCGAAGGCAGAAGTGTACCTAAATCACTTGGCACCTGGGCAGAAGTGTATGTTGGCACCCCCTCCCTCAGAACTGTATTTATTTTACCCCCTTCCCAAACCATGCACTAAATCATTTAAACATATACAGACATATTAATTTACCTATTTACAGACACCCACATTTACACACAAACAATGACATGCTTGATATTTTATTTTTTACAAGCCTTTTAAAAAATGTTTTCCCCCAACATGAAGAATTTGAGTGGAACCTCTTCCATAGGGTCTAGTAGCGAACTGCTGGGATTGATCTCTGCACAGATTGCACAGCTCGTTTAGCATCCAGCTGCACTGTACTGATGCTGAATCTGGAGTGACATCACACCCCAGCAAACAGCATCATCAGTATGGGAAGCATGAAAAAGCTGTACAACAAGTGCACACAGTGACCATAGCAGTTCGATCTGTTATAAAACCCACAAAACAAGCACCTATCAGAGATGTACCAGCACACAAATATCTGTCCTATGTAATGGTGTGATCTACACTGTTGGGAAGGGTTTAACAGTGAGATAGAGTCCCTGCTAGCCTGGTCCCCTAAAACTATATGGCTAAATGGTCACACAATAAAATTAGGGTGGCGATGAAGACTCCAAGCAACTTTAACAAGATGAAATGGTTATGGTGCCACACAATTTTTTAATATGACAAACTGACCCAATCTGGTTTAATTTCTAATTCCAGGAAAATATAGAGACAACACTGAACTGAAATTCGTGATTTCTTTTAATACATATGTAGTACAGAATATTAATTACAGCAGGACAGTGTTTCCAGTTAAATAAAATTAAAAACTTTTATTCACCCCTCCAATATAAAATTACTAAATCAATATTTTGAAAGAACAATATGATCAAAGCTTTAAATAACACCATTTACCACAGTAATCATGACCACCAATACATACTTTTTGCTTTGGCAAAATAAAAAAAAAATAAAGGTATTTTTTACTTTGTTTTTTTAACAGTGTATAAACCTAATATAGCAAAGATTGTATACATCTTTGTATTGCACTCATTTATGTACAAGAATAAACTGTAAAGACAAAATATATAGCAGGTAAAATGAATAAGCACATTTGTTTCCCCCCACAATAAAAGTATTAGCGATGAACATTAAAAAATGCATAGAAATGTAACATTTATGTACATAAATAATAGTCTGCATCAATTAACAATATGTACATTTTTACTATGTATCTTCTTTCCTGGACGGACTTGTAAAAGCAATGTGAATTTATGCAGTGAAAAAGTTGGGACTTTGTGTGTTTGTGTCAATAATTTGTTTTGGTCTATTTGGAAGCTCACAGATTAAAATAAGTTTTTAATAAACTCAATCCTACTGAATTCTTCCTTATTCAATATCAAAAAGAAATCTCAACTCAAAAAGAAATCTCAACTCAAGAAGAAATCTCAACTCAAGAAGAAGAAAAAAGGAATGTTGTCAGTTTCTAAAGTTTAACGTTAAAATTAAAATAAAAAAACAAAAAAACAAAATAACAAATAAGAGCCCTGGTTATGCAAAAACGTGCAAGCTGTGCTTGATCACATAAAACATGTAAACATTACAGTAACCATTTAATGTTCAATACCAAGGTAACCAACACATAGTTCTCCAACTCATGATGCTTATTCACTCTAGTGTTCATTCCACAATAATTGGAGAGCTACCTATTGACTGCCCGTGCTCTATGCTGTACATTCCTATAGAGTTACAATCCTAGTTCTATCTGTGCTATTTTCGTGATTCTGCTTTTTTTTTTTTTTTATATAGTTCTATAGCTAGCATAAAAATACTCAATACATATTTCTCTTCTTTAGGATATTGAAATTAAAAAAGTCAGTACTGCCAAACGTAAAAGGATGCGCGTCTTTGTGGTTCCTACGATCACAACCAATAATGTTGTTTGTTCAAAGTCTTACTAGTATATGTAGTGACTGAAACATGAACTGCCTGCCGCAGGTTTATACTAGAATGTGAGCCCTGGAAAGCATCCTGAGATAGTCATACACAAGGCATACTGCAAAATGAAAGGAACAATGAAGAGATCATGCAATGGAGGACGAGCTGGTCATTCCCTGTACGGTTGTGCTTGTAGGAGTTCCACTTATGGCATTAAAAATGTGAAGTGAATTCGGCATAACACTGATTTTCTCTTCCCCACACCAAATCTAAAAGAAAACAAAAAGGTAATTAAATCACAAATCATAAATAATTAAATTTTTTCATAACAAAACAAAAACAAAAAAAAACCCAACAAAACAACAAATTCATCACATTTAGGTTTTCATTCAAGAATAGCTGCTTAGGCATCATGCAGAGTGCTTAAAACCAAAAATCGAATTACAGACAGGTGTAAAAAAAAAATAATAAAAAAAAAAAATAGAAAATTACCATTCAATCTGCTCAGGTTTGCAAAGAGGAAGAAAATAAAATAAATGGTTATTGATATGAGTTATTCAATAAACTAGAATATAATGCACCCACAGTCATGTTAAGATATGAAAATACTCTGTTGTATAGACTCAAGCTCATTTAAGAATTCAAAGTTTATGTTTAGTAAAGAAAGAACAAAACACACAGGAAAAGGCCATATCTTGTTCCAAACTGAAAAGTAACATTTAGAATGTTGCAGTGTAATCCACCAATATATAAGAAAGTTCTTTCTTTTTTAAAAACTAAAATGTTTTACTACAGAATAAGAAGGTGCTTAACAATGCTGTATTTAAATGTATATTAAACAAGAATATTTACTTGACCATTATTATGTAACTTCTAATATTTAATTTGTATAAACATTATATTCCTTGCAGTTTAATAATCACACATTATTGTCATTGCTGATGGGTCCTATCTCAAAGTTAATCTGTTCATTTATAAATGTCCAAAGTATTCTAATGCACTTTCATGGATTTCCTAATTCAAGCATGCCTGGCTGATATGATGAAGAACAAACACGGTCTAAGCTTTAAAATGATAGACAAAAAAAAGCTGAATCACTCATCTTCACTTCATACATGGCGTGGAGCTTATAAATATATACCAGAACTTCTTATGTTTTTTAGTTGTGGCCAGCAGACCTACAGTTTTTGAACAACATAGTGACATTTCCTGGTATTTTTCAGTTTTTTTAGATCTTTCCCTTTAAACTGTCAACTCTTTGACAGAGGCCAGTTCACTGTATTCAGTGTGTAGTGTCTAGATGGCTTAGAACATACTTACTTGCTCATGCATTATTTCAGAAAGCTCTCTGACCATCTCTCTGTAGTTTGCTTTCATTTCTTCTTGATATTCAAACTGATTTTCTTTTATTAGTTTTTCGTTAACACACAAAGCTTGACCGCATGCTTCAACAAATTGCCTGAGAAGGAAAATCAAATTAATAGTGTAGTACATTATTATAATTCCATTATTAATACACTGTGGGAATTGACAAATGCTGATATTGTGAGCTTTGTCTTTTAACTTTTCCCATATTGCAAAGTAGTCAATACTTTGTCTCCGCATATCTTTTGACTACACTGGAATTTCAATGAAATTACAGCACAGTCAACAGGAGCATCTAATAA